CATTTATTTTTATGTGCACTGGTGTTTTGCCTACATTTATGTGTATCTGTGTAACAGTGTCAGATCTTGGAGTCACAGACAGTTGTGAGCTGCCATGTAGGTGCTGGGAATTGAACCCAAGTCCTCTAGAAAAACAGTTAGTGCTCTCTTAACCACTGAGCCATTTCTCCAACTCCATACCTAGGAATCTACTTTTTTTCATAGATTTACTCACTTTATGTGTGTATTTTGCTCACATGTATGTCTGTGTAACATATGCATCCTGGAACTAGAATTATGAAGAGTTGTGAACCACCACTTGGGATACTGGGAATTGAACATGAGTCTTCTGCAAGCATTAAGTGCTCTTAACCACTGACCCATCTCTCCAACCACAGGAATCTACTTTAATTCAAAACAAAAAATGCAATCAGGATGCTATAACCTACATCTTAAATACTAACACTTAGCAGGCAGAGGCAAACAGATCTCTGTGAGCTCCAGGCCAGCCTGGTCTACATGGTGAGCTTCAGAACAGACAAGACTATATAAAGAGACCCTGTCTCAAAAAGCAAGCATTAATTAATTAAAATTTTAAGATAACAAAAATAATAAGCAATAAAATTAAGAGATTCCAAACTTTGTTTACATTGTTTTCTTAACCAACCTTTAAAAACTTTCTTTTATTTTATGTGTGTGCTTGTTTTGCCTGTTTTGTCTGTGTACCACTTATGAGCTTGATGCTCAGGAAGGCCAGAGGAGGGTGTCAGATCCCTGGAACTGGAGTTACAAATGATTGTGAACTGAAATGTCATGCTGGAATCAAACCTGGGTCCTGGAAGAGCAGGTAATGCCATCTCCAGCCCTTACACTAATTTTTAAATGACTAACACATTTTTGCAGAGCTCTATTAGGATATGCAAAAATCTGATCATCTTAGATTTATGGAAAAGATATAAAGACTATCAGCTGGCTACAGGAGAAAACAAGAAGATAGGGTATATTAGTTTAAAGTCAGAAAACAGGGCCAGCAAGATGGGTTGGAGAGTATGTCTAAAGAGTTCAGTTCTATCCCCAGGATACATATGGTGGAAGGAGACAACTGACTCTAGAAGCGGCCCTCTGATTTCCACACACAGAATACCTACATTCACAAATACACAGAAAGTAAGTGAGTAAATAAATAAATGTAATGTTTAAGTCCTAAATAAAAGATGTGCTGGGAATTTTGTTGCAAACATAAAAGTATTAAAGGACAGGTACAATGTTTAGAACTCTAAATGGCAAGCCCTGAGACAAAGAACATGGTCCCACCTGTGCTATGGAAGCCACACACCATAAAATCAAAGATGGTAAACATGAGAAACTATAGAAATAACAAAAAAAAAAAATTAAGGGACCTCAAACACAAAACCACAAAACGTAGACATTTTTAATATGCAGATTGTTAAACTTGGTAAAACACCATTAAGTCAAAATAAAACTAGAAGACAACTGTACATAATAGGAGTATAGCGCAAACCATCAATCAAACTCTACTAAGCAACTACATCCTTCCACTCCTCAAAACTATGAGTAAACAGCCAGGAAACCAACCACACAAAACAAGAGAGTAAATTAGTTCAAATAAAATTTAAGTCATTAGGAGATATTTTCATGGATGTAGTATTATCCTAGTTTTGTTTCTTTGGCTGGACAAACATTGTGACAAAAACCAACTTAGAGGAGAGATTGTTTCAGTATAAAATCACAGGTTACAGTCTATCATTGGGATAAAGTCTAGGCATCGGGAACTTGAGGCAGCTTCTCGCACCACATCCACACTCAGAAGCAAGGAGGAATCAATGCCTGCATTCATGCTCTCCAACTCATCATTCTCTACTCCTACACAATTCAGGACCCAACCCCAGGGAATGGCCCTGCCTACATTTATGTTGGAACGTCCCATATCACTTAACATAATTAGACAATCCCCCACAGACATGGCCACCGACCAATGTGATCTAGACAACCCCTCCTTGAGATTCTTTTAACAAGTTATTCTGAGTTGTGCTATGTTGACAATTAGAACTAACCATCACAAGTATATTTGTCACAGAGATTTTACCTGCTCCTTTCCCTCCCACTAAAGTGTAAGCTCAATGAGAAAATAGAATTTTTCTACCACTTCTCTAGTAGCTAAGAGTACTCAAAACACAGTAGTAATAACCACTTACTAAACAAAGGAATAAAATCACTGGGCTATAACTTTACTGCACTTTAGGAAGAAAAGTATGTTCCAAACACACATGAAACAAGGCATGGTAGCTCATGCCTATAATCCTAGCACTTAATAAACTGAGCCTAAGACTGGCCTTGGGCTACCAATGAGACCCCGTTTCAAAACAAACAAAATAAATCATATTACAATGATGATTTAGAGTACTATCCCTATCTCAAAAACAGAGCAACCCAAAAACATTTACTTCTGAAAATAAAGTTTCAAAACTGAAAGGAAGGTTTTAGTACACATGGAACAATTTAGCTCCAGATCCTGTGGCTTTCTCACTAAACAAACTGGTTTTCTTCTACATAACCCTATTTCCTGGTAATATTCCTGAACTCGCCGTTCCTTGAAGTGTAAAACACTCCCTTGGTAAACAGAAGAACTACTGAATATCTGAACCAAGAGTTTGGCAAACCCAGGCCATGTTTTCAGTAAACAGCTAATAAGTACACATGAGTAAAATCAGAGATATTCTGACTCAGAACAGATTTAAAAATGATGCAAGCAGTCATTCAACAAAATTAAATATAACTGAAATGTAATTTAATATATATATAACTTTTATTCCTGAACATATACACACTCTCTATATATAACATTATAGTCAAATTATGAATTAAATAGAGTATATATTAAGTATGTAATATATAATACAAATATGTAACATGCTACATATAATAGTATATCTATACATAACATAGTAAATTGAAAAACAAGAGAATAAGACAATAAAAATTCATACAAATATTCTGGATATTATTTATACTATGAATTTAGTTATACTAAATGTTTGTATATAAACAGTGTCAAGCTATTAAATTTCTGAGCTTAAAATGTATTAAGGTGCTAGAGAGATGGCTTTGTTAGTAAAATGCTTGCTTCCTACACAAGCATCAGGACCTGAGTTCAGATTCCCAGCATTCCTGTTAAAATGTGATCCATGCCTGTAATCCCAGTGCTGGCTTGCTGGTCAGCTAGTCCAGTCAATCAGCAAGCTCCAAGTTACAGGAGAGACTTTGTCTCAAAACAAAAGGGATGACAGGAACTGAGGAAGATACAAGTAATTGACCTTCATATGCATATACACATAGTCATACATGTACACACATATACAACACACACAAGCAGACTAAGGTAGAAAATAAGTTTCTATGTTTAAGACACTCAAATAACAATGAAATTTAAAAACTCACATTTCAATAAGATAGTAGTATTTCTGAAAAGAATCTTTCCAAAACTAAAATAATTTTTCCCCTGCAAAGATAAAAGAAAGAAAATTAGCATCGGGACATTTCGCTTTTCAAGACAGAATATGAATACCTACATTAATAAAATATTCAAATGAATTTTCTTAATCAAACAGACAATACCTTTTCTTTTAGTGACTCTTGCCACTCAGTGTAGTCCTGAGTTCCTCCCCACAGGTCATAAAGCAGGGACTACAAATGGGAGGCAGCTACAAATTTCAACTTCACTTAAAAGCATCATTGTAGGGTAAAAATGGCATGAGCTCATGAGATGTACAGTTCCTTTGCTTTACTCACTAACTATTCCTTAGAACAACCAATCATAGTGTTCAAGTAACCTTTGAGCAGTTTTACTTTTAAGTTTAAAAGGATTTAACTATTAATCATTTCAGTAACAAATAGACAACTACAATCCAAAACCGGAAAACCTTTGCCAAAATGAATAAAAGCTGTAAAATTTGCCATATAATTGTACACTAAACAGGACAAAAACAAAACAAAACAGCCAATAGATTTTAAAACAGTTCTTGCCAAAATCTGGGTTTTGTGGTTCAAACTCTTATTCAAACGAGGTTTTAAAACTAAGAGGGGAATAGGTAAACCTATCAGTTAAATATCCAAACGAAGGACTATCCTTACCACAATGCATTTTAGAATTGCTTCGTTTTGGCCATTCCCATGTTAAAACGCATTGTTAAAAATCCCTATGTCCCCTAATCACAAAAACATTTCGAAGTTTAAACCAAATGAAGCCATCTCATCCGCAGAAATAATTTTACAAAAAAATGAAAATAAAAACACTAGAGTTAAAGACTCCTATTTCCATATCCCTTTCATCCAAGCCTGGTACCGGATTTTATGACATTCTAGCTTGAAAGAGAACTGTGCACCTGTGCATCAAGTTTCTCTCAAGTTTGGCGCTGAAAGTTCTGTTACTTTCCCGGTGAGAACCCGCTTGGCTCTGACACTGCTCCTGGCTAAGACAAACAGCGCAGCTCTCGGCTCTGGGAAGGTGAGACCCCGTGGGCACACTCTTATCCCACTCCCTTTGGAAACCGACTTTCCTGAAACCATCCTGGACCTCTTGGGCCACCGTAGCCCCATTTCTCATCCCCCTCCCGCTCAATAGCGACTTCAACACTCACCGACGGCATCGGAATGTGCCACTTTGACCTATCAGCGCCAAACACGGGTGCTGGTCCTGCACCAAAAAACGACAGTGGGAACGGCTGCGCCCCCAAAAGAAGAAAAATGACAGGAGACACCTGAAGCCACGCAGCTACCGCCATCTTCACAGCCATGAAGCGACTACCCAAAGCATTGAGGTTTCTTCCGGCTGACTAGTCCCGCCTTCTTCCTACTTGTCCCACCCTCTTCCGGCTCTGCTCTGTGGGCGGGATTATCCGGGTCCTTGAAACTGCGCTCTCCCCTCCGACCCTCAGAGCGCTGCGGAAACTTTGTGGCTACTGCGCAGGCGTCCTCCTGTCTGAATCCGAGCGGGTTCTGGAGGTGAACCACCCGCGCCTCTGAGGTCGGGTTCTTCTCTCTGTTCTTCCTGCCATTAAAGGAACTCAGTACACCGGTCAAGTCTCTGCTCCTCTCGCTTCTTCCCGCCCCTCATCCTTTCCAAATCAAGGTCAGGCGCCCGTCAGAAGTCTGTGGAACCCCACACACTGGATGCATGATTGACATCCAGTAGTGAGTTCTCCAGCTGTGGAAGCAGAGCCTGGAATTTGGCAGGGCGGAGGTAGAAGCGATTCATGAGCTTCAAAGTCCCCTTTAACCCCGAAAAACTGTAGGTCAGTTGCCGCAGTTTAACCGGCGACATCGGCGTCCAACAGTGACCCAGACGGCGCTCCCCACTCAGAACTAAAAGTGGGGAGAGATCGGGTCAGCTTTCGGTATTATAGAGTGACAGCCGCTGACACAGACCCTAGGGCTGTCTTGGTGCTTCCTGTTTCTCACGCTCTAGATTTTAATCTCTAGGGATATTTGCATGCACGCCTCCTCCGCCAATAAAAGCAAGGTTCATCAGCCACTCTCGACCAAGAAGTATTTAACAAGTATACGTGTGGAAATACCAGGAGAAAAAGTCAATATTTGCCCCCCCCTTAAACATCTAGAGGGGACTCTTATTTCCCATAAATTTGACTGTGATTTAACAAGTCATGATTTAACAAGTCTGCTTGTTGCCTTTTTTAAAAGATCGCCAGAGGCTGTGGCCTGAGAGTTAGGAGCCAGGCAGAGTTAACAGGGAAGCCATGAAAGCAGCCGAGAAAGAGGAAATCAGGTAAAGGCCTATTGCTCCAGCAGGAACTGACTCCGAAAACGACCTAGCTTTGAAGGCTTCACTTAGCATTTTAAACGCACTTCCTGAAATGCTTGGTGTTTGCTTCATCGTTCTTTCTTGCTTCTTGCAGGGAGTTGGATAATGTTAATAGCTAACCTCTCAATGTACTTTAACTGTGGAAAGGTTGCCTTTCAAATTCTAAGACATGGGTTTTAAGCGCGCTGCATCCCACATTTAGGTGGTTCCGTCTCTTTCTGTGCCTTTCCATGGCTCATTCTTTACAACTGGAAACGGAAGACTGCAAGGTCTCCTACTGTTTGCACATTTGATTAAAATAAGCAGTGCCCTCCCCCCGAAAAAAACGAGTTTAATGAAGGGTTTCATTTTTCACACGATAAAACAAGTTCTTGATATGGCTAAGTGTCTCTCTCTGTCCAGGCGTGTTTTCATAGTTTAGCTTCCTCCAATGGACACGCTAACTGCAGGTGCAAGAAGCCACACCTCTTTACAAAGCCAGTCCCCGCCCACCCAGCTTATGTTTGTCTTAACCAGAGGAAGGCTAATTGAAATACATATATATTCAAGTAGTAATGTACATCTTTTTTATATTTTATACCAGATGCAGTTCTTCTGGGATTAAAATTGGCTCTAAAGAATATTAATCTCTAGATTGTTGGAATCCTCTGGGAAGTTTTTCTGTCTGTGTTTGTTTCACTCTGACGCTTGGCACCTGACACATACCTTTCTTAGAGGATTTGGAGCCTATCTTGTGGTTCCCTCTTAGATTTTAACAGAACATTCAGGCACTCTATATGTCTTTTTCAGGTCTAAACTCTCAGAAAGTGTATGTTCTGAAAATATTGTGCTCTTTAAATAGGTGGGCAGGTTGGTTGTTTGGTTTGGATTTATATTTCATATTTTAATTTTGTGGCTATTATTTTAAAAGCTCCCTGCTTCATAGTTGGCAGTGCCCCTCTCCCATTGCTTTTAGATCAAGCCCATGAAGATGTTTTGTTGTTAAGTTTGGTAGTTTTACAAAAGGGTGCTGGTCTGCACCGTACATACTGTTGCTCCGTGAAGTCTTATGTTACAGCAGTGATGGAGTTTTGCAACACAGATTAAATTCCAAAAGTTTATTTTGCACGTTTATACTATAATTAGGGAAGTCACAAAAATTGAGCTCACAGATCTTATGTAAAATAAATTCCTTTAGTAAAAGAGAGTAATATGTGTAAAAAGATAAATTAAAAAAGGATAAATAAATTTCTTAAAATGTAAATGTAACATATATTTCTTAAAATTTCCAATTTAGCGTTGAAGATGAAGCTGTGGATAAAACCATTTTCAGAGACTGTAGTGAGATTGCTTTCTACAGGTGAGTAAATATATCACCTAGAAGACATTCCTGACAGTATTTCTAAATTAATTGCACTAAGCTTTGCAATTGCACTGAAAACTGCGGAGCTAAAAAGATGGTCTTTAGGAAATCTAATGAATCATTTTATATACTTACTATTAAATAATTTAAATTGTATTTTTTTTGTCTTGGTTTTTCAAGACAGGGTTTCTCTGTGTGATCCTGGCTATCCTGGAACTTGGTGTGTAGACCAGGCTGACCCCCCAAGTGCTGGGATTAAAGGTGTGCACCCCTACCACTCAGCCTGTATTTTATTTTAAAAACTAAAATATTTTTAAAATGTGTGTCCTTTCAAAGATAATATACTTGAAAAATCATATAAAAAGATATATATTGAAAGTATTACTCCTGCCTCTGCTTTTCCATCATCCTGTCCCTTCAAGCAAGCATACTTATTATTAATTTCTTATATTCTCATCGCCTCTTTCCTTACACCTACAAATAGGTTCCTGACTATAAAAAGTGTTCTGTCTCCTCCCCCTGCTTTATGTTTCACTTTGGAGACCTTCCACTTCAGTGCATGGGGGTTTCCATACTTTTTGCTCAGGATATTCCACTGGATAGGTGCACTACAGTTTATTTTGTTCCAGATCCACTTGCTAGAGCCTCAGTTTGTTGTTTCTTTTTTTAATCTTTTACTATAAGAGCATCCCCATGTGAAGAGCTATGTTTGTCATTTCCTATACTTGCAAGTGATTTGCAGGATAGATCTTTAGCAGTGGAGCTGGAGGTGTGGCTTAGCAGGAGAGGACCTCCTTATCTTGTGAAAGGCTGTGGGCCTGATGCTTAGCACTAAGGAAAACAAGACAACAAAAACAGACAATAAAAAGCAAATACACTTGAAATGTGTTAACTGTCCATAGATTCCCTCTGTAGGGATCTTTTATACTTACTTTAATATTCTATGAGGTTATTTGAGCCTAGGAAAAATATCTTTAAATTCCTCTTTTGAAACATCTACTTTGGTGGCTTAGTTGGTTCAAGAGCCTGATTTATATCTATTTTTATCATGACTCTGAAACTGAAATCATCAAAATTAATTTTTATTAATTAGGGGGATTTTGTTTGCTTGTTTATTATTTGAGACATTGTCTCACTATGTAGATCTGATTAACATTGAACTAACAATAGTCTGCCTGCCTTCTGAGTGCTGGGATTAAAGTGCTATGCCACCATGCCCAGCAAAAAAGTGTTACATATATTTTTAAGTTTCTATTTCAGTCATTCTCTGTTCTAGAATAAAAAAGATGCCATTTTTACTAAAATAGTTACCTTACAGGGAAGTATACAGTGAATGCCCAATCACCTTGTTAAAACAATGGCCCACACTGAATTTCCACTAGAATATATTGAATTACTACTAAAGTTCCATTTCATGAAAAGGAGGGAGAAAATTAAGTTCATAAAAGTTATGGGATGGGGAAATGGTTTACTAAATAAAATACTCTGGAGAAGACCTGAGTTTAATCCCTAGACTATTATAAAACTACCATTCATCGGCATTTACAATCCTAGCACTGGGGAGGCAGAGACAAGCAGATCTCAAGGACCTGCTGGACAGCCAGCCTACCCTACTTGCCTAACCCCACACTAGTAAGAGACACTGACTTAAAGATAAAAATATGGGTGTCCCTAAGGAATGGTACCTGAGGTTGTTTTCTGACCCCACTCACATGTTCACATACCTATTAGTCATATGCACTTGTACATGTACACACCCATACACATACAAAAGAGAGAAAATTGCCTGTTTTCTAAGTAAAGGAGACAAGATTCCATTCTTGAGCAATATTATGTTGAAATTAATATTATTTTAATGATAATTTTATTGGAACCCTAGTAATATATGCTTGGTACTTTATAAGAGTGTCAGTGCTGTCTTTGCCAGTCACTGTAATAGTCAATTTTACTGACATTCACATGATGATATAGTCTGTTAGATACAGACAAATCACAAGAAGTTCTTATATATCTGTGTATTTTTCTTAGTTTGCTTTTTGTTGTGATTAAAGACCATGACCAAAAGCAACCTGGGGAGGAAAGGGCTTGCTTGGTCTTATAAACTTCCAATCACAGTCCATCATTGAGGGAACTCAGGGCAGGAACCTGGAGACAAGAGCTAAAGCAGAGACCATGGAGGGGTGCTTCTTACCACTTGCTGCCCCCAGCTTGCTCAGCTACCTTTCTTACACCACCTGAGGCATCAGCAAGAGTGGGCTGGACCCTCCCACATCAGTAAGTTAACTCAAGAAAAAGTTCCCACAGACTTTCCTACAGGCCAGTCTGATACAGGCATCTTCTCAATTAAGGTTCCCTCTTTCCAAGTGACTCTACTATGTGTCAAGTTGACAAAACTAACCAGCACAATACTCTATATCTGTAGGCGGCAGAAACAGCAGCTCTCCAAGAATGCCACCTACCAGGCATTGTTAGACTCAGTCACTACAGAACAGGACAGCACCAGGTTCCACGTCGTCAGTGAAGCCAACAAGGTGAGGCGGAAGAGCGGTTTACTCTTGTGTTTATGGGGGTTGAATTATATACACTTCTTTGTTGTTTTCCTTCTTTGACAGATTCTATCCAAGATCCATACATTTTCTGGCACTATAATGTAGAATAGTTTCTCATGAAGCCTGAGCAAGGAGCAGATTCAGTAAATGTCCAAATGTCAAAATTTAGGTTGCCAAGGAACAGAGAAGAGTATTATGTAGTGGAAAACCCAAGACATGAACATTCTATCTCTGAGCTGTTTCGCTAGCAGAACACCATAGTTCCTACAAAGTAAAGGAATTACAGTAGGATATCTTAAGGACTTATCTCTCACCTTTCAGTCCATCACACTACTTCATATGTGTCACAAAAATGGGTCAGCTACAGAAGCACTTTGAGATGGACCAGAAAGTGATACTGCACGAGTCACCTGTTGCTTCATTCTAACCCTTACTTTTAGTACTCCTCCACTTTCTAAAAGCATCTGAAACTTCTGGAGTCTCTCAAACTAATATGAGTTAACTGGTATTTCTTGAACAACTAATATGAATTAACTGGTATTTCTTGAACAGAAACATAGTTCATTAAGACTGTGGTCTGGATCCACTAACCACTTACAGAGTGACTCTACTGTCTCAACATTTCCAATTCTCAGACATAGACTTTCAGCTGAAAGTTGGGTGAAATCTGTTTGTAACTGCCACAGCTCCTGTTTTGTAATGCTTTAATGAGGAAACTCAACAGAAAACAGGATGAAAACTATTCCCCAATGTTGGAGGAGGGTTCTCTAAGACCTTATAATTTAGAAACTATTAGTGTTCAGCAAACCTGACTCCCAGAAGAGGCTTTCTAGGAATCCAATTTTCCTTCTTCTCTTCATTGTATGACTGTAGCAAGTTGTAGTAGCCATAATCTGGACATAAAATCCTTATCAATTCTTGGGGAGGCTTAGTGCATAGAATGTCTTGAACAATCCACTATCATAAAGATGCCAAGGCAAAGCAAATGAAGCAGACTTACTTCAAATATCAGTAGTAAACCAAAATTCAATGTTACAAGACATCTTTTTTTATTGAGAGGCAAAGCAATTCAAATCAGGTGCCATCCAGAGCCCAGCATATCTGCTTGTTCTCCAAAAAGAAGACTTTACACTGCAAAGGGCCCCGGAGAATGGATCTCCACAGGAGACAACACGTGGCTCAAGAGGGAGTCAGGGAGTCCATCAAGAAAGAACAAATTATCTGAAATGTCATCAACAAAGCCCTGAAGAATGAGAACTTTGTGGATGCTTCAAACATACTCCACTGGAAGTATCAAAGCTATGTAAGAACCTGTGTCTCTAATCTCAAAGAAATGTATATTTTAAAAAGTCATCCTGAAATTCTGCCTGACTCTATTTTAATATCCAAGTGATATATAGAGTTGAGACAACTGGCAGAGAACTTAGGATTCCATGCCCTCTGTTGCTTTAATGGAGAGTGAAGATAATCTCCAGACAGTAATCGGAGAAGTTGTCTGAACTTCATAGCCATCTCATTGCATAGGAACAGGGTTAGAGGTTATTTCTAGGCTGAGGATTAAGGAGATTGCACATCAAGGGTCAATGCGGTCCAGAGATTTAAAACAAGCTGCTGCGTGTGTGCACCTAATAAGAACAATAGCTTTTTTCTTTCAGGTTCAGAGAGACAGCTTCCAAAACCTAAGAGGATCATATTCAGCTCACAGCTGCAGTTCTCAAATTGCACCAAGGAGGCAGATTCTGACAAACCAGGAACTTCTTGTGCCTGCCTGCCAAGCTGCCTGCACCCACACTTTTAAAGCCTTAAATGATTGACTTCAGAGTTTGGCAACTTGTCATTCTTGAAGTCCAGTTCCTTTCCCCAGATCCACTCCTAATAAGCAATTAGGAAACAAAAATCAAGTTTTATCAATATTTTCTTAGTTTGCTTTGGCTGCATTACAAAATACCATAGACCAATCGACTTAAACAACAGATCTATCTCTTAGTCTCCAAGGTGCCAACACCCATATCGGGAAATGGCCCTCTTTCTGGCTTGCAGATGGCCACCTTGTATCCCACATGTGGGAAAGACACAGGCTAAGCAAATTCTTGTCCTTTCTTTTTTTGGTTTTTCGAGACAGGGTTTCTCTGTGGCTTTGGAGGCTGTCCTGGAACTCGCTCTGTAGACCAGGCTGGCCTCGAACTCACAGAGATCCGCCTGCCTCTGCCTCCCGAGTGCTGGGATTAAAGGCGTGTGCCACCAACGCCCGGCTTGTCCTTTCTTATAAAGGCAATAATTCCATCCTGAGAACTCCCCACATGATCTCTTACAAGCCTAATATCACATAGCAGTCAAAAATAGTATGTTTGTAAATATACAAGAAATGTTCAGTAAAGAAGCTGTTAGAAGAAAAACAGTTGAGGAAAATGAGTAGAAAAGTGTTAACTTTTAAATACTGTTCAGGTTTTATTTTTCCCTCCTGCTGTTACAGATTTTTGCCTTGAATGAAAATGCGGCATGGTTGAGCGGCAGAGATCTGATCTTTGGCACTAATACAGGGAAATGCATGTTGTCTTCTATAGCGCTAGCAAGGCTGACAGGACTAAAGTTTTATCTTTAATGTACTTTATATTGCTAACGGTGTTTCCTGCTGATTTGGGCAAACATTTGTAAGCATTTTTACTTTCTTTCTCAGCTTATTAGCATGGTTTCACCAGAGATGCTTCTAGCAGCTTCTTTGAGGATGCAAGTATATTGCTAAGCCTCTGTATGAAGTTACTCATTGCCTCCTCAGTAGATGGGGCAGAGCTGCTCCTGAGCAAATAGTGTTCATCCTGAGTGGCCAACCAGCAGTTGTTTGGGAGCTGGCCAAACAGGGCCATACCTGCATAGGCTAATTACCATCTGGAAATGGGCTAAAAACTAGCAGGAGGTCACCATTGTTTTCCATCGAGAATCTGTGCCTGGAGTTATCACAAATAACTGAGACCATCTGAAAAATAGCAAAATAAATAACACCATATAATATGCAAACAAATGAGCTGGAAAATGCTTAATTGTTTATCTAGGAAATGAGTATGGCATGCTTGGGCCCAGGTTGTAATTCCACTAATCATATCACAGTTTCCACTCCCACAAATGAAGGGTATTACATAAGCACAGCTCAGGGTTTTTGCTGAGTTACTAGGGAGGCACTATTCTTCCTCCCGACCTAATTAAGGACTGCTATTAGAAAATCTAGCATAGCCCTCCAGAGAAGCTCTAGGCAAACTAATCTGGTGACCATCAAGGCTTGTCTTAGCTCAAATGAAGGTTTCCACACTAGAGCAAGGTCTGTTGAAGCAGAACTGGGTGGATTCAGCAGCATCTTGGTTGCAGGGTTCTCTGCAGCTAGGGTTATAGTTTCTACAAAGCCTTTCATGAATTGTTCAAGGCAGCTGGTGTGCCATGGTGACAGCTGCCAAGGGAAGAAATGTTCAGCTTATGTTTAAGGGCAGTTGGGCACAAGGGAAAAATTAGACAGTTATCAACCAAAGGCTTGAAATTGGGCCCTGGCCCTCCAACAAAAAAACAAAACAAAACAAAAAACCACTAGAGGTTGCCCATTGTTTACATTTTCTGTCTTGTTTTATTATGTTTACATTCTTAACATCATCTGACGGTATATTACTCACAGGTAGAAAACATTAGGAAGCATCTGATCCAGGGTCATCTGGGGAGAAAGAGTGGTCATGAAAGCATGCCTCCATCAGATTAGCCTGTGATGTGGGGCATTTTCTTGGTTAATGATTGATGTAGGATGATTTCTGTGGTTGGTGACATCCCTGGGAAAGTGGTTTTGAATTGTGTAAAATAGATAGCTGAGCAGGCCATGAAGAGCAAGCCAGTAAGCAGCACTCCTCCATGGTGTCTGCATCCATTCCTGTCTTGAGTACCTGCTCTGACCTCCATGGTAGACTGTAAGATACAATGCAAAATAAACTTTTATTCTCAAGTTGCTTTTAGTGATAGTGTTTATCACAGCAATAGAACCTTAACTTATTCTCCTACCAATTCCTGAAGGCCCTCTTTAAATTCCCCCACCCCCAGAGACTTCCCAGGCCTTCACTTTGCACACATTAGTGTTCCCCTTCCTGCTTGGCCGCTAAATCTGTATTCATACTTTCATCTCAGCTTTCTGTAAATCTTACGTAGGTATCATCTCCTCCAAACTTCAACCCCTCTAAGAGTTCAGTGGTCACAATATTACATATAAAATAAATGTTAGTTGAATTAAAAAAGAACCAGGAAACTTTATGTCTGACTTGGAAGAGGATAGGTAATCTGAGTTTCAGCTCTGTTGGGATTCTAGTGGCATACTGGAGAGATCTCAAATATGTGAAAAAGCCAGCATGTAAGCAGTAATTACAATCAGTTCTAGAACAGTCCTGTGGCCCTGTATTAGAGTGACTATGAGCACGCCTGTAGCCACAGCACTAACTGGTAGCTCTTTAGGACAGCATTACTGGTAGTGAGCCCTGATCTCGTACAGTCCCAGAGGCAAGGTTCCAGTCACACAGCTTCTCAAATGATGCTTGATGTTTTCAGTGCTGCGTGTCTTCTGTTTTCACCACATCATGTTGTTACACTACATCATGTGGCCTTTCCTGCTGAGCCTACACCATAGCAGACACACACAGTATAGGTACCTGTGGGGACACCAGACCTTGAGCAGAAACCCACTTCCCCTTCGGCCTGGGAGCAGGCAGCTGTGTAATGTTTACTGAAAACAATTCAGTGCTATAAAACTCTTGATAGGGCTCAGATAAGGGCTCGCTCACTGAGATACCATGACTTTCACACCCTCTACGGCTAGATGCCTCTTCCTGTTTCCCTGCTGTGTCTCCCCGATTCTGGGGCCGGAGATTAAACCACCAGCCAGGAGGGTGAGAAGTCTGAAAAGAATTGTATGTAGATGGATGGCAGAAGTCCTTAAAAGGGGGAAGCGTTTTTTTCTTGGAGAGACTTCTCTCTCCTAAAACTGACTTGGGAAGCATAAAGTTTTCTTAAAGCAACCGACCGGTCTCTGTGTCATCTATCCTGACCACCTCGCTACATTCTCGGATGCAGGCTGCACAGCAGGTGCGACAGGTACCCATGTGTAACCAAAGCTCAGCAGCGTGCTTCATGAAGAATGTGCAGGAGACTAGTGTGATACATGGTTAAAAGCTCATCTTGCCAGGCAGTGGTGGCGCTCACCTTTAATCCCAGCACTCGGGAGGCAGAGGCAGGCGGATCTCTGTGAGTTCGAGGCTGGGCTGGACCGATAGCCTCCAAAACAATACAGAGAAACCCTGTCTCAAAAAACCAAAAAAAAAAAAAAAAAAAGCTCATCTTAATGTCTTCCTCCAATCTGGGTGCTTCATTTTGAGACCCAAATCCAGCCATTTCTGTTCTAGTGGGGTTTCTGCTGTTGCTTTGGATTTCATTTTTCAGGTCTGCTCTCTTTGTAGTTCTGTGCTGTTTCCATCCCTCTTGGAAAGTTTTTCTTAAATTTCCCAGCACTTTGAGAAAGTTCCCTGGAAACCTTTTCCTGGCTATAAAAATCTGTTGAATTTAGTTCAGTGGGCCTCATTTCATCTGCACTTAAGAACCGTAAGGTCTTTTCCTGGGCCTGTTTCTTTCAACTTCCTTTCAGCTGGAGCCTGGTTACATTGAATTTAATGCCCAAACTCAGCATTTCTGTGCCAGTTCAATTGTTAGTAGAGACCCCTTTCACTCTAAAGATCATGGTTTGGGTAATCATATGTTTACCTGGCCACAGACACACAGAAGATATTACTTGTGCTACAGCTATAGCCAAGCATGTACAGACATAGATTTGGACTGTTCTTTTTATTACCAACATTCTCCGATTTGCTTGACCTATCATAATTTAAACAAATGCTTTCCTAATTATTGTAATTTAACTATTAGAACAGATTATCACTGAGGTAACCTGTTGAAGCTAACCTCACACCTCTACTCCCAGATTCCTCTCCTGGTTGAAGTTTATGGGATAGAGAAAAACATTTTCAGACTTAAAATCAATGAAGAAACTCCACTGAAACCAAGGTATGAAGTTCCTGATGTCATCACCAGCAAGCTAAGAACAGTAAGGTAAGCTGCGGGCACGGTCTGGTATATACAGACTCCTCAGGCTCTTTAGTCAAACCTTGAGTGTACCCCCTGTTTGTTCAGAGTTATAATCAGTTAGTTACAGTGTTAGTGTTCAATCATTTGGGGATACATTTATAAATTTTCTTTATCTCCCACTCCAAAACTGTTTTGTACCTCCCAATGAGGAGAGACAGAACTTTGGGCCTTCTGTGTTTCTCACAACAAAACAGTTTGTTAGGCAGAGTTTGGAAGCAAGCAGAAGAAAAGCTTTTTAATCTGCTCACTCGGATTAGCACCATGGCTCAGGAGATCTAATACGCTGCTAACTCTCCCAGTGATTTATACAGCTAGACGGACTCATTTTTAATTAAGGATATTCTCAGAAGCCTAACATTTAATTTTACTTGGAGCCAGAGATAAATTAATGATCAGTATCTAGGTGAAAAAGATCTCTAGGGATTAAAGTATTTTTCAAGTACTTGCAAAATTTCCATCAGTTCTCCACAGGCATTTAGGTAAAAGATCAGTTGCTTTGCCTGGTGACTCCTGTTGTTTTGTCACTGAAAGAATCTAAGGTTAAGATAGATGCTTTAATTTCATCCATATCCTACCAAAGTTTTATGTAAGTTATTTTTCATGAAAACATGTGGTCAATAGATAGTAGAGATTATATAAATATTGTGTGGTAAGTATCGTTGTTAGTTCTATGTAGGGGTGAGCCCAAAATACTGTCCACGCCCAATATACTGTCCATGCCCAAAAGGGGCATAGACAAGGGTACATAGAACAGTTGAGATATTTAAGGAAAGTACAAGTAAAAGCACTCGCTCTTGGAAGCTAGCCACGTTCCCAGCGCTTCTATCCTTGTCTATCTTGTAAGTATATTTAATAAATATATTAGACCTCCTTTTACAGATAGCGTTGTTTCTATCTTCAGTTCTGCTTCAGTCCCAACTACTTTCTTTTTTTCTTTTTTCTTTTTCTTTTTCTTTCTTTCTTTTTTTTTTTTTTTTTTTTTTGGTTTTTCAAGACAAGGTTTCTCTGTGTAGCTTTGGAGCCTGTCCTAGAACTAGCTCTTGTAGATCAGGCTGGTCTCAAACTCAGAGATCCTCCTGCCTCTGCCACCCAAAGTTCTGGGACTAAAGGTGTGTGCCACCACCACCTGGCTTCCCAACTGCTTTCTAGGGGACCTTTAGCTACCAAAATAACTGAAACACTGAAAGCAACCTTTTACCCTTTCCCAGACCCTTTTCTAGCTAGGGTTTCTGATGTGATTCACTTTCTGCCGGTCATGTATACTGAACAAAAGTATTGTTGAGCTTATCTAGATCTGGCAGCTGTGGACTGGCTGTGAAGTCACCAATTAGGGCCACAGGTCTCTGATCTTCATATTACAGCTAAGATAGCATAATCCTGGAGTCAAGCAATATCCACAGTGACTTCTGATTTCTCAGCTTTATAATTATAGCTGAGATAGAAGTTCACTGACTGTTCAGTTATCCAGTTTATGCTTGGGACCTTTACTGGAGAGTTAGCCTGAGACCTAATAGCCAAACCTTCCTAATGATGTTATAGACAACCAGTTCTTTTTGGTAAGTTATGTATTTTTTATTTAAAATATCCAGAACTGTTTCTGTTATTGACCATCAACACCTGGTTGACAACTGTAGTTGATGTTAGAAGTAGGTATAAGCAACTGACTGTGGGTATGAGATTAACTAGCTGACCTAGTTGACAGTGAAGGCAGTGAAAACCTGGATACCCTTAAAAAATAGAATACCAGTGTTGTCCCCCCAAATGTATATACTAAAGTCCTCATCCCCAGTACCTCAGAACACAACTGTATTTAGGAGATATATTAAAGTGATTGTTAACTTAAAACGGGAACATAATAGTGAGGCCATAATACATCATGACTGCTATCCCTATGAGAAAACTAGGGTCACACATGCATAAGGACACTCATGGTGACAAGACAACCATCTGCAAGCCATGGAGATAGGCCTTATAACAAACCAACCTGCTAACACCTTGGACTTAGGTTTCCAGAGTTGTGTGAAAATAAGCTACTGTGGTAATTTGTTATGGTAACCCAGGAAACTGATACAACTAAGAAAAAACCGCAGCATCCTGTGCTCTTGTTTAAGTCACTGTTGATAGTCAATCGAAATAAGGGGCTTACTGAAAGCAAACCAAGTGGTGGGAATAAAGCACATTGTGACTGTCCTTCAGAATTCAAGCCTCTGAGGTGGCCTGGCTGACATCAGTCTCTCTGAAGCATTTAATGACATAAAACAACAGTCTCAGGGTTTTAAGTTCTGAACTCACAGCCTTGTTAGGAATCAGTTTCTATAACTGTCTCATGTCTTACCTAGCTGCAGAGTCTCTGTAGCTGCAAATACAGACTCAGAGTTTTATATTTCAGGTTGCTGAATTAGATCATAAGCTGAGTTCACAGCCCACTCAGATCTGTGATTTGAGACATTACTGCAGAAAGTTAGGAATGCCAGCATTTGAGATTTGGATAATTCTAAATACCCAAACTTCCAAACTTCATTGAGCCTTACATTCCAGCAGAAACCCCTCTTCCTGCCCCTTCTGTGAATGTTTCTAAAGTGCACTCAGGATACACATGTGTGGTTGCCTGAAGAGGGCAGAAAATGGCCTCAGTCCCCCTGGAACTGGAATTGCAAGCTTGTGATCCCCCAGACAGGAGTGCTCAATAGCAATAATCACTCTTGGCTACTGAGCCACTCTGCCACCTTCCTGTTCCTTCTGATACATTGTCACTGTCATGCCTGAGCACATCCAATAGACTTTAGCGGAGACAGACTTTGCAAAGGGATTTCTGTGTTCTTTGTGCCTTATCTTAGTCAGCCTTCACTGTCTCCAAACCTTTGGTCAGTAGATCCCAACTAGGCCAGAGAGCCTATCACAGCCAAGTTCAAGAGGAGGCTTGCCTGCCTGAAGGAGTGTAAGATGTCATAGCGCTAGTGAGATGGCTCAGCAGAAACCTGCATCACCTCTACGTCAGATGACCTGCGTCTGCCCCTGCAAGCTGTCCCCTCACCTCCACTTGCACACAGTGGCACACACCCCTACATGCCCGGCACACAAAGTTCTAATATGTAGTTTTAAAATTAAAAGTAAAAAGAATATTTACATTCTGTGTACCTAGGTGTTACTATACATTATAGACAGAAATGATGGTGATAAACATTGTGTTTCCAACCTGTACCAATTACTTTGAATGTATGATTTCACTTAATTTTTTCCAAAAATTCTATTGGTTTTTAATTTAATTTATATTTCATAGAAAATTAAGTCATAGAAAGGTTGAATAACGTTGTTACCTGTAGTTATGAAGTATATAGTGGAGTTATGTCTTGCCCAAGCTTTCTTCTTCCCTCTCCACGACGGCTTCCTACCATAGACCTTACCTATTCTCTGTCACAGGAAAACTGACCAACACTCTGAGTTACAAATCACATAGACTCATGAAAACCTGTAGCAATTTACTTTCCCCTTCCTGTTTCATTGTCCAGGCTGGTCTCGTGCTCAGGGGATGCCGGCAGCCTGATACTGACACATGACGAAGGAGATCTGAAGTGTCATATCTCAGCAAACCCATTCAAGATAGACTTGGTGTCTGAGAACGAGCCTGTGATCAGCATCAACTCCCTGGGCCAGTTATACTTTGAGCACTTACAGACTCCTCACAAGCAAAGGTATTTGTATGCATTACTTTACTTGGCCCTTAAGGACCTACATTAACACAACCTGCCTGTAAATATCAGCTGCCTTGAACTCAGATCGTCCTGCATTACTGGCTGAACTTTTTCTGCTCCCCCGCCCCCACACACACACAAAGATTTTAAAGGTAGCTAAAGAACTTGTGTAATAAATTGTTATGCTATTTTTAGTGTTTCTCAATAAAAAACCACAGTTGAAGAATGTGGGTTTGAGTAAGATGTTCCCTATAGTCTCCAGCATTTGAATACTTGGTTCCCAATGGGTGGTACTGTTTGAGGAGGCTTACAAGGTCTATCCTAGCTGGAGGAAGTATGTCACAAGAACCCGGCTCTGGGAGTAAAAAGGCACACACCATCTCCAGTTCACTTTCTGCTTCCTGCTTGTGGTTCAGGATATAGCCCTCAGCTTCTTGCTCTAGCTGTCATGTCTGTCACCTACTGCCTCCACTCCATCATCATGGACTCTTACCCCTCTGGAATCCTAAGCCCAAATGAACTTTCTTCTGTGAGTTGCCTTGGTCATCATGTTTTATCACAGCAATAAAAAAGAAACAATGGAAAGAATGTATGGTCATGACCAAGTAGTTGGCATTTTATGTGTTTTTATTTTTCCTTCTTTTCATTACTTTTTAATTTTCCCACAATGAGTACATATTACTTTTATGATAAATAATAAGATTTTCCAATGCTAACATTTCAAAATAAAAATAAGTTACAACTTTAAAAAAATCATTGTGTAGAAATAAATGACGCAAAATGTTTTCTGTGAACCACATAATCACTTATCCTGATGATAGAAACAAGTATAGACTGGGAAATTTTGAAACAATCCTTGGTGAAAACGGGAGAAGCCTCTCTCCCAGACCATCCCAGTCTTAACAGCCAGCACCTTTGCCCACTGAGCCATCCTGCTACCATACTTTCCTTTTTTGTTGTTTTTGTTTTTGTTTTGTTTTGTTTTGTTGAGACAGGGTCTTGTAGCTTTGACTGGCATTGAAGCTACTATGCAGGCAACAAGGACTATGAACTTCTGATACCCTGATTAGTTATGTGTCACCATGCCTGGCTATAATGATATTATATTTACTAAATTAAAGGATGGAATTTATGAGGACTTGGCAATGAGAATCCTTGTTACTGCATTAAATCCTGCCAGTCTTCCCGTTGGCTGAAACAACTTTATCTGTGTTTAAAGCAGAGCTACCAAAGGGAACCAGGAGAGTGCGCCAGCTGACACCTTTCAGGTAATTGAGATCTAGCAATTTACACTTGATGCTAACACTCCCATAAGCATGTGGTGGTTTCTGCTCCCCTCTTCTCCAGAAGGGTGCTTGATTAGTGTGTTACTGTATATAAAAGGGTATTTCTTGTCCTTGTTAACAAAATCTGTTGAAGACTGCCTCCTACCAGGCAGACACTGTTGAAGGCACTGGTAGTTCATCATTAAACTAATCTAAGGTCCTTGTCCATCAGAGTCTATCGGCTTTTAAGCTAACTTTTTCAGTATACCCTAAAAACAAATAAGGTTGTTAACATAGGAATAATTGGTCTCACTTCTGTTTTTAAAAGGTGATTTTTAGCTGAGTTATGAAGAATAGACAATCTAGAAGTCTTTTGTGTGTTGATGTATGTGGATGTGCTATGTATATGTCTGTACACATGTATGCATGGAAGTACATACATGCATATGTGAAGGACAGAGGTTGCTACCAGGTAATATTTTCAATCACTCTCCACTTTATGTGGCAATCTCTCACCTGAACTCTAAACTCACTAATTCAGCAAGTGTAACAGGTTTTCTTTTGGGCCACCAACCAGCTCCCAAATCAAGACACAGAGACTTCTTATTAGTTATGAATTCTTGGCCTTAGCTCTTATTTCTTGCTAGCTCTTATAATTTAAATTGTGATGATTTATGATTTATTAAAGCTTGCCTGAGGATTCAGAAAGCAAAATCAGCCTCAAGCTATAGAGATCAGGCAGTGGTGGTACACACCTTTAATCCCAGGACTCTGGATTAAAAGGTAGAGGGATCTCCATTAGTCCAAGGTCAGCCTGGTCTACAAAGTGAGTTCCAGAATAACCAGGGCTACCCAAAGAAACTGTCTTGAAATGTCAAAAAATTCCTTTTATTTCTTTTGCAAAGGCTACATTTTTCAAAACACTGTTGTATTTTAGTTCATATACATGTGTTTGTGACAAGTGATGTAGCAGTTCCTCAAAAAATTAAACATGGAATTGCAGTATGACCCAGTAGTTCTGCTTCTGGTATGTACCCAAAAGTGAGGGCATTGTAGCACTGGTCACAGTAACCATAAGAAGGAAGAAGCATGTACAAACCCAAAATGTGATGTATACATACAGTGACATCATATTTGGCCTTAAAAATTAAAGTTCCAGTATGTGCTACAAATGAATAAGACCTGAAGACAATCTGTGAAGTAAGCCAGTCACAAAGGAACAAGTACTGTACAAGTTCACTTTATGAGATGACTATAGTCACATTCATAGAATAGAAAAGAGAATGGTTTTGCCAGGGGTGCAGAGAGGGAGAAGTAGAAAGTTGTTATTTAGTAGGGAAGTCCAGTTTGGGCCAATGAAACATTTGTGGAACTAGATGGTGGAGGATAGGCATCATCATACCACAGACCAAGTATACTTTGTGACACTGGGTTGTGTACTTGGAAATGTTTAAAAGATAAAGTATATGTTATATATTTTAACATAGAAAAATATTCATAAAATGAGTATTGACTTTTATAGAAAACACAAATTTGATTTATTAAATATACTTATAAACTGGTCTTTAAAAATATGGACTCATTTCTCAGTCTTTCTTTTTTTTTTGAGACAGAGTCTCAGTATATAGTCCTGACTTACTGTGTAGACCAGGCTGGCTTTGAATTTACAGAAATTTACCTGCCTCTGCCTCCCAAGTGTTAGGATTAAAGGAATATGCTAACATACCCTTCATTTTCTCAGTCTTTAAATTTTTTGTTAGTAGTAATAATAAGACTGTATGATGCATGTGTGGGGCAAGTATGCTTCTTGCCTTATACTCTTATGTGGGCTCTGGAGATTGAACTTGGGTTGTCAAGCTTGCATTATTAGGAGTAAAGAGCTGTTACCTGTGCCTCAGTCTTCTTAATATTCCAAATAAGATACACTGTTATGGTAACCACATTTGTTGCAGTTTATAAATTCATTTTGATCTCCTTTTTATATGACTAGGAAAATCAAGAAGACCTAGGCCTGTGGGAAGAGAAATTTGGAAAATTTGTGGATGTCAAAGCTAATGGTAAATTGTCAAAGTTAAGGATATAATATTAAAGTGGATCACTCCAAAATAGCTAAATAGTTGTCTAAAAGTCATTTGACAACTTGGGGTACAGATCAGTGATAGAGTACTTAGCTAACATGGGGTTACCCTGAGTTCAATCCCCAGTGCCACAAATAGATAAATTCCTTGAGCTTTGGCACCTAAAACAAGTAACTTCTGTAATGCAAACAAAACTCATCAGGTTGGGTTTCCTATTCTTCAGTAATGCATTGCAACAGAGAAGTAGTTATATATACATCTTATGGAAGAATAAAGGAGATACATGGACCACATGTAGTTTATGGTCTTAGGAAGGGCCTGGGCCAGCACACTGCCTGCTGTTCTGAGTAAAGCAGACAGCTATAAATTCCACATTCTTTTTTCATGAGACCCATGTGATGAGAACCCAAGTTATACAGCTCATCTACTCTAACATTTTTAGCTAGTAATTCTCAATGTTTTAGGCCTCTTCATCATCACAGGTGCTACGTGCCTATCTATGACACTTCTCACGAGGCTTAGCAATATGGTTGAGGGAATATGCTCACACAGCATATATCACAACCATGGGAAGTCATATATTGAGGATACAGGAAAGCCTTCTTGCTGCTCTTATGCAGTAGTTCTTGTAGAGAGCCACAGACAAGACCGACAGGAAGATTATCAAGCACGAATTCATCCAGCAAAGATTGAATGTGCTCAGTATGACAGGAAAAGGGGCTTCAGCACACAGCTCAGGCAGCATAATTAGTAAGTGAGCAGAGCTTTTCACTCATATACATGATACACAACACTCACTTTTATATACACACTCACCAATCCCCAAATATCACAGCATCTTACTATCAAAATCAGTGCACAGCACTGATTGGTTGGGGGCAAGTTCTGATTTCTCTACTCCCAGGCTAGTTGTTTTGTTAGCTAAGTTAACTGAATCTTTTAGATTGATCTATTGAGAAGCAAAACTCAGCCATGAGTCTGGTCTCTACAGGTCCTTCCTCTATTGGTTTGGATTTCTCCTTTCATGGATTTGAACATCTCTATGGTATCCCTCAACATGCAGAATCACACCAACTTAAAAACACTAGGTAAGTGGCAGCAAGAATTCTTAAGTAGGGGCTGGAGAGATGGCTCAGAGGTTAAGAGCACTGACTGTTCTTTCAAAGGTCCTGAGTTCAATTCCTAGAAACTGTATGGTGGCTCACGGCCATCTGTAATGAGATCTGGTGCCTTTTTCTGGCCTGCAGGCAGAATACTGTATGTGTAATAAATAAATCTTTGGGGGGTGTTTTGAGAGAGGGTTTCTCTTTGTAACAGCTCTGGCTGTCCTAGAACTCACTCTGTAGACCAGGTTGGCCTCAAACTCACAGAGATCTGCCTGCCTCTGTGTCCTGAGCCCTGAGATTAAAGGTGTTTGCCACCAACACCCGATAAAAAAAATTCTTAAGTAGTCTCTGCACTGATATTACTTATGGAGTTACAAAACCTTCCTAATAGTTTTCAGGGGGCTGAACAGTATAAGAGAACTGAAAACTAGGTGAGAGCCAGCAAGTGAGGATCTATATGTTTATTCTGTCTCTGCTCTTGACTGTCAATCTCTGCAATAATAGACTGTAACCTGGAACTGTAAGCCAAATAAGCCCTTTCTCCATAGGTTGCTTTTTGTAAGAGTAGCTGTCACAGTGATAGGACATAAAAGTGGAAAGAAAGAACCAACACCACAAGGCTGGCTTCTGACTTCCACATGTGTGCATGCACACTCACATTAATTAAAAAGCTGTAATGTGAACCAAAAAATACAGAAATAAAATTAAGGAGTAATTGGAATTAAATTATTCCCTTTTACTGTGTAGGATCTTTTTTATGGAACCCTGGGAGAATACTAAAAACAAAATACTGATCTAGAAAAGGGCTTTCACTCTAAAGAGGTCATTGAGCCAGAGAATGCGGTATCTCCAATCACCTACAATATCCCTTGCAGAGACCATTTCAGGCTGACACAAATGACAAATGGATCCCAGGGGCATCTGCCTGCTAGGAACCAAAACCAAAGAGAAGCAGAGGCTGTTTAAAGTTGCCAGGTCTGGAGACTATTTAGTAGGTAGGCATCACCATGACTAGTCTCATCCCCACCCCCATCTCATTCCTATTCCAGAGCTGGAGGTGTGTTAGGGTGCACTTCTTTTCCTTAGCTGCAGAGAAGTCTTCACACAGTCCATCAGCAGATGAGGGTAGTGTGTCTCTGTTCTGGGATTCACAGGGAATCTTTAGAAAAGATACTCAGGATCTAAGCCTGAGGTTCCCAGGGAGCCAATGGAGACAGAGGAGGAGGATCATATGGGCCAGGTTGAGGCAGGTAACCTTTAGGTAAGTGATAAGAGATGAGTCTTTGTAGGAGAGTGGTTTTATATAGGGTCGTGTTACATGTCCAGGCTGGTCTAGAACTTGCTATATAGCCCCAGGATGGCCTCTAACTTACAGTTCTATCTCTATCCTCCAAGTGCAAGGATTATAAGTGTGTGCCTTCACGCCTGCCAGGAGGTAAATGGTTTGTTTACAGGAGACAATGAAGCTGTTCTAAACATTAACAATCCACTTGTTATTTGGTAATAAGCCTCCTTTGTGTTTCAGGGATGGAGATGCATACCGCCTTTATAACCTAGATGTCTATGGATATCAAATACATGACAAAATGGGCATCTATGGTTCAGTGCCTTATCTCCTGGCCCACAAACAGGGCAAGACTGTAGCCATTTTCTGGCTAAATGCCTCAGAAACACTAGTGGAGATCAACACAGAGCCAGCAGTTGAGGTGAGCTATGGAATGTGGCTGCTTGCCATACTTACCACACTGCAGTCAGAGTCCTTTTCTTTGCAGCAGTGTTTTTCTGTGACCAAGAGCTTTGCAGTATAATTGGCAAATGTTAGTAGGAGCTACCAAATGTAGACAGCTTCATGTAGGAATGAGTGCAGTAGGTTGCAGCGAACTTTCTCAGATTTTCATTACATCCTTTTCCAGTACACACTGACCCAGACTGGCCCAGTAGCTGCCAAACAAAAGGTCGGGTGTCGAACCGATGTGCGCTGGATGTCAGAGAGTGGAATCATTGATGTTTTTCTGCTGACAGGACCTACCCCTTCTGACATCTTCAAGCAGTACTCATCCCTCACAGGTACTTGCATGGAGACTGCTAGTTCCTCACTCACACCATTACGTTTCCTCTGTCCTGTGTATCCTCACTGCAAATTTTTGCTATCACAAACAACATCTCTAAGCATTTTAAGTAGCAAGCATTTTTCTTCTCACCCTCATTACATCCAGACAAGCTAAACATGATACTAGACTGCCCGCTTTCTAATCCCCAATACTTGTCATATGCCTGCTTGCCTGTTTGGAACCTTTAGTCTCTGGGAATAACCTCCCTGTAGCTAAAGAATATTGCATCCTGAACTTTTAAATCTGTTCTTTGTTAAAATATTCTACTGACTTTAGCAATAAAATATTTGTTCTTTAAGAGACTAAAGGCTAGGGCCAGTGACTAGGGCCACCAAGCCTGAAGACCTGATCACAGGGACCCACATGGTAGAAATAGAGAACTAAGTCCCACAAGTTATCTCCATATGCATGCACACACATAATCCTTCATATGTATTGCTGTCACATCTTTTTTGTCTTCTATAACACACACACATACACACACACACACGCACACACACACATGCATACACATGCACACACACACACACACACACACACACACACACACACACACACACACACACACGCTAAATGAATGGAAATTCACATGCTTTACTCCGTGCAGGATAAGCCATCTTTCTCATACCTTTACCCTAGGCCGGTAACTGGACTGGCTAAACTGAAAGTTGCTTTCCACAGAATTCAAAGTCATTTCTCTTGTCCCGTCTTCTTACTCCAAACCATTCATTGTGTTCCTTTTCACATGATCTGTCTTTTTTCACTGAACTACCTTCCTTATCACTAATATTGTGAAATTTTATAGTAAATTCCCTTGTGCGTTCCTTTCAAATGTTTTCTGTACTGAGGGTGAGATGTGGACACTATCAGTCTTAGTGGCCTTCAGGCTCTTCAGTTCCTTTCAGTTTCACATCCTTGTTCTTTCTCCTTCTTTCTTTTCTGAGAAATGTTCTCCATCTTATCTCCCAGACCTTCCACTTATGTTGTCATGTTTCTAATGCTGAGGATGTTCCTATCTCTTGTCCTCCCTGTGTGCCCATTGTTCCATGATGCCCTAGTCTACTTTTATCTGTGAGTCCTTTATCTCTTTCCATTCTTAGAAAATGGGGGGGGGGGGTTGTATGGTTTTTTGGTTTGTTTGTTTTGTTTTTTGTTTTTTCAAGACAGGGGTTTTTTGTGTAGCTTTGGAGCCTGTCTTGGAACTCGCTCTGTAGACCAGGCTGGTCTCTAACTCACAGAGATCTGCCTGTCTGTGCCCCCCAAAACACTGGGATTTAAGGCATGCACCACCCTCCCTGGCAATAATGTTTTTTTAAGACAATACAGAGAAACCCTGTCTCAAAAAAAAAGATTTTATTTTTATTATAAAACTATGTATATATGTGTTAAGATAAAGTACCTGCAGAGCCTAGAAGAAGGTGTCTGAGGCTCTGGAGCTGGAGTTATAAGTGGTTATAAGCCACCCGGCATGTGGCTCTACATGGAAACCCTAGGTGAGGCTGGTATCCTAGCACTTGAGGAGCATGTGAGGATCCCTGTCTTTGAGGTTTCTAGAGCAAGGAAGTGCTACTCTCTATCTTTGTGCCTTCTCACACACGCTTGGGATGAACATTCTTCCCCTTTGTTTTTCTCTTTGTTTCAAAGCTTCTTTTTGTAGTAATTTTCATGAATCAGTTTCCGCCTTCCACATTGTGGGACCCTGGGGTTGAACTCAGATCAGCAGGCTTAGCGGCAAGAACCTTTTCCCACTGAGCCATCCCACTGTCTTCATTTTTTTTTTAAGACAGAGTCTCATGTATCTTAAGCTGGGCTTGAACTTTCTATGTAGTCAAGAATAACTTTGAACTTGTAATTCTTCTGCCTCTACCTTTCCCTGCATGCATCACCACCAGTTTTATAGAATGCTGAGAATTTAGAACCCAGAGTTTTGTGCAAACTAAACAGGTACTCTACCACCTGAGCTGCATTCACAGATACCCCCCCTGCCATTTGTTATGTCTCATTGTAAAAAAAAAATGAGAATTCTGATCTTAAAGTACAGGGCTCTTTATAAACGGATCCTATCCAGTTCCATCTTCTCTCAGTCTCTCACACTGTAATCCCTGCAGTATTTATTTCTCTGAGACGACATGTGCTTCTTTGCCTGTGTTGACTCTCTGCTCCTATGAGCTCTACCTAGTCTCCCTGACTGGCATCCTCCTTATTATTCAAGGCCTCCGCCCTTCTCAGCTGCCTTGGGAAAACTGAAGATTCCACAGAATGTACGTGTTCCCACAGCACTAGACGGATACTGTTAGCATAGCGGTTATACCTCAGGGCAGGGTTTATTTATATGCCACCCTGTCACCCTAATTGCCACTTTCTTCAAAGCAGGGTCTATTTTTTCTTGTCCTTGATAGTCTATGCAGTATCAAGCTCAGTGCTTAGTCCCCCGTTGAGATTGGGGAGATGTTCACTGATTGAATAACATTAGTGGCCTCCATTGTCATCTTTTTAGGCACACAAGCCATGCCCCCTCTTTTTTCCCTGGGGTACCACCAGTGCCGCTGGAACTATGAAGACGAGCAGGATGTGAAGACAGTGGATGCAGGTTTTGATGAGCATGACATTCCATATGACGTCATGTGGCTGGACATAGAGCACACCGAGGACAAGAAATACTTCACCTGGGACAAAAAGAGGTTCCCAAACCCCAGAAGGATGCAAGAGCTACTCAGGAGCAAAAAACGCAAGGTGAAGTCAGCCTGATGTTTAAAGCTTTTTAATCCCAGAGTTAGATCTGTCTTGGCACATCAGCAGAGGAAGACCCTCTGATGGAAAAAAATTGTGAAAATAATGCCTTCCAATGTGATAGTAACTGTGATGCCAGAAGACAGGAACTAAAAATGCGGTGACGCCACCCATCCCTGCCACAGCTGTGTAAACCCCACAACAATGAAGGCCTGAGTGCTTCAGTCCTGTTGGCGGCAGTCACCCTGCTGTGATGGCACCCTTCTCCCCAGACATTTGGTCCCATTGTCAAAATTGGTGGTACTACCCAGACACCAAAAGCAAAAAGAGTTTCTCTAATAATGAGGCCTTCTAGAGAGAGCAAGGCTGTCTCCCAAATTGCTTTGAAAATGACTTGAGAAATCTGGGACCGGGACTAGCTTGATTTCCCTGGTGGCTAACAGGTGGTTCTGGGATAAGTTCTTCCACATGGGCTGTGTTGTGGACCATCAGAGCTTCACAGCAGGTGGGTAGAAGGGTTAAAGGACTTGGTAGGGCTTGGAGGTCTTAACAACAGAGGATCAAAAACAGAGTCATAGCCAGGCATTGGTGGCGCACGCCTTTAATCCCAGCACTTGGGAGGCAGAGGCAGGCCTCCAAAACAACACAGAGAAACCCTGTCTCAGAAAAAACTTGCCCCCCCACATCTGACAACCTGAGTTTGATCTCAGGATCACACATGGTAGAAGGAGAGAACCAACTCGTGCAAGTTGTGAAAATAGGTCCTCTGACTGCCACATGCACCCAGACAAATATGTTCTTCCCCCTGCTCCACACCCAAATTGATAGGTGTAATTTAAAAAAATATAACCAGATACTTTTTTTTTTGATACATGTTTCACTGACAGACTCTCCCTGGAAATTTGGCCAAGGAAAGAACTGAAACTTAAAGGTGGAAGGAGAAAAACCACTGAGAAGTACATCATTTTTTTATGTACCTCTTTCTTGTTCCAGGAAGATTGGGGCAAAGGAGGAGTAGCAGTAATGAACTCACAGAGATCCACCTGCCTCTGCCTCCTGAGTCCTGGGATTAAAGGCATGTGCCACCACACTCAGCCCAAACCCCCTAATTTCTTAATTAATAACTATAATATATCAAGTCTAGACAGTATGATAAAACATATTATCCCTCCACTTACAAAACTCTGAAGTTGGTCTTATTACCCATTTCAGATGAAGAAGTGGTAGTCTTCAGTGGTTGGTAGTTTATACTAAGGACTGAACTTAGGTTTTCTGCAAGAGCAGCCAGTGATCTTAACAGCTGAGCCATTTCTCCAGCCCCCAGTTGTCATAGTGATTTTTTGTTGTGTTATGTTTTGTTTGTTGTTGTTTTTGAGGCCTTTGAAAGATGCTGTGCTAGTGCTGAGTGGGGAAAGGCAAGCATATGCAGCCGTAATATGGGCTGGAGAGATGACTCAGCAATGGAAGGCTGTAATATATGACAAGAACAACAAAAACTCCAAACACTTAAAAAATGACAGGGATTTGAATAGATAGTCCACCAAAGAAGGTACTCAAGTCAAGACGGCCAAGAACCACACAAAAACATGCTCTCTTTCCACCATGTGGAACTTGGGCTCCAGGGATCAAACTCAGGTCTTCATGTTTGGCAGCAAGCACCCTTAACTGCTGAGCTATCTCATCATCCTTGTTTAATTGTTGTTACTATTGTGACGTTTTGGTTTGGTTTTAATCCGTTTCTGTGGTTTTGTAGGAGAACATGGGAACATGGCTGGGCACATATGCCTGTAGAAGCCAGAGGACAGCCTTGGGTCATTTCCTAGATGCTATCCAGCTTTCTTTTTTTCTATTTTGTGAGATGTGTTCTCTCACTGACTTGACTGATCAGGGTACCCCACAGACTATATACCTGCCTCCACCTCCTCTGTGCTGAGATTACAAACATGTGCTACATGCCTGACTTTTTTACACGTGTTCTGGTACTCAAACGCTGGTCCTCATGTTTGCAAGGCAAGCACTTTACTGACTAAGTTATCTCCCCAGGCCTGTTCTTCATTTCTTTAATGATTTATTTCATCAGTTTTACCTTTGCCTCTAAATACCTAGGGAGTTAGGACCTTGCCTATTTAATCCTTCCTTATAGCACCAGGCACCACAAACAGATGCTTCATAAGTGTCATCTTAAAGATGTGTATGGGGGCTGCTGGGATGGCTCAGTGGGTAAAGGCACTTTGCCACCAACTCTGAGAAACTGAGTTCAAGCCCCAGAACACAAATGGTGGCAGGAGAGAACCAACTTCTTACAGACAGACAGACAGACAGACAGACAGACAGACACACACACACACACACACACACACACACACACACACACACTAAATAAATAAAATAAAATAATGTGAGAAAATAATAAAATGATAAACTATGATAATTATAAAAGAAGACTTTCTTGGATTTGATATTTTTTTTTTTTTTTGGTTTTTTGAGACAGGGTTTCTCTGTGTAGCTCTGGCTGTCCTGGAGCTCACTATGTAGACCAGGCTGTCCTCCAACTCACAGGGATCTGCCAGCTTCTGCTTCCTGAGAACTAAGATTAAAGGCATGTGCTACCACTGCCTGGCTGATAGTGAAAGGTTATAGGTATTTAGTAATGTCCAAAATTTTCGGTGAGTTGTAGTTTCTGAATAAAACTCGACTATGGTGAAAGCACCTGAATGAACAAAAGCCGAATAAAACTGACGTGGTCTTTACATCTCTGTCCTGACAGCTTGTGGTTATCAGTGACCCCCACATCAAGGTGGATCCTGACTACTCAGTCTATGCTAAAGCCAAAGAACAGGGCTTCTTTGTGAAGAATCCAGAAGGTGGCGACTTCGAAGGAGTATGTTGGCCTGGTATGGTATCACTTATTTCCACTTGTTCAGTTCCAATTAATAAAGCATCTGTGAGCCAGGCGTTGGTGGCACACACCTTTAATCCCAGCACTTGGGAGGCAGAGGCAGGCGGATCTCTGTAAGTTCGAAGCCAGTCTGGTCTACAAGAGCTAGTTCCAGGACAGCCTCCAAAGCCACAGAGAAACCCTGTCTCGAAAAAACAAAAAAAAAACAACAAAAAAAAAGCATCTGTGGCCTACATTCTCATTCCTCGTGGGCATCTCTTTCTCTTACAGCCGCATCTTCAGCAAACACCTTTAAGGGAGATATGTTATCACCTTCTTTGGGATCTTTCATAACACCTGGTACAGTGAGCTATGAGCGTGTTTATCAGTGATCAGATGAATGAATGGAAAATAAGCAAACAGGCTTATCTCCATAGCATGTTATTTCTCTAAGCAAACAGAGATAGGAATTAGGGAGTGAGGAAGTGTGGGGTGGAGGTGGGGATAAGGGTCTGGCAGGCTCTCTCGTGTGATTGCTTGTCCTTTTAGCCCATAGTTTTGACTTTTGGCCTTTCATGAGTGGCCTCAGCTGCCTGTGGAACTCTGGATGCAAAAATTGTTAGAAATTCTCCAAAGATCAAAAGAAATCACCACTGTGTCGTAAATCCAAGTGCTGTGGAGAAGCCTGTACTTTCCTTTTCTCCCTAGGGTCATCTGAAAAAGTCTGTGTTCTCTTTAAAAACAGGGGTCATTGCAGGGTTTTGGGCATCCTTACCTGGCCCTTCTCAGACCATTAGTGAAGGACAGGCTCCATCCTGATGCTTGTCTATTGGCATGCCCATGGGCCTCTGGTGTTAAAAGGTTATGTTTTATATCTTTAAAGATTGCTTGTATTCATTTGCTGTGGACCACACCTGTCTCCGTTGTCTTTTTATTTGACATAAGGTGTCCATTGATAACCTGACTCTCATATCTTCTTTACCACACATCTTGCTGAAAAGACCACTTTTTTGACAGATTGCCCACTGTTGTGCCTTTGCAGGTCTCTCATCTTACCTGGATTTCACCAATCCCAAGGTCAGAGAGTGGTATTCCAGCCTTTTTGCTTTTCCTGCTTATCAGGTTGGTTTTTATTCTCTTTCTGCTTCCTAGTTAACCTGAGAGATGAAAGGAAAAGGTAGTTTCTTAGAACTGCTTTTATTAAGTAGCTTTTGATATATTGCACATATAAAAGGCAAGTATAGACACTACATTACAGACTTTGATGGTATTAGAAAGGGTACTATATACATTACTAGATGTATAAAAACTGTAGTGCAATGGATATTTATTCTATTTTCTTATTATCATGTACATTTTAATATAAAATCCTGTAGACAGAAGTTTCTGTCCTGCCCCTTCTTGCAACCATTGAATCCCAAATAAATACAGAGGTTTATATTAATTATAAACTGTTTGGTCTATTGCTCAGGGGTATTACTAACAAGCTCTTACAACTTAAATTAACCCATAATTCTTATCTATGTTTAGCCATGTGGCTTGGTACCTTTTCTCAGTAAGATATTCTCATCTTGCTTCCTCTGTGTCTGGCTGGCAACTGTATCTCTACCTTTCCTCTTCCCAGAATTCTCCTAGTCTGGTAGCCCTGCCTAAACTGGCTACTGGCCAATCATCATGTCATTAAACCAATAGGAGTGACAAATCTTTACAGTGAAAAGAGCATTATCCCACATCAAAATCCTATACTACAACTATTATTGAAAATTGATATGAAGCCAGGCATGGGGCACAGTAATCATAGCACTTGGGAAGATGAACAGGATAGCCATGAATTCACACCAGCCTGGCTACAGAGTGAAACCCTGTCTCAAGAAAAAACACTGGGTATGTCGATGCACACCTTTAACCTCAATTGGCAGGCAGAAGGAGATGTATTTCTGTGAGCTGGAAACCAGACAGGTCTACATAGTCAGTTTCAGGGCAACCAAGGATATGTAGAAAGACCCTGTCTTAAAAAGAAAAGACTTAGGCCAAGGGAAATAGCTCAGTTGACAGAGTGCTTGGCTAGCAGGCCTGATCCCCATGGTAGTACATGCCTGTAACTCCAGCATTTAGGTGGTGGAGGCAGGAGGGTCAGAAATTAGTGTCATCTTCAGCTACTTGTCAAAGTCAAGGTCAGCCTAAGCAACATAAGAGCCTGTCAGAAGGAAAGGAAGAAAGAAAGGGAAACAAACAAAGTGGCAGTGACAAGTGTGAAACTATGTAATAAACCAGCAGTTCTCAATCTGTGTGTCAAAACCCCTAGGGGGTTGACTGACCCTATCACAGGGGTCACATATCAGATATCCTGCATGTCAGATATTTACGTTATGATTAATAACAGTTGCAAAAGTGAAGTTATAAAGTAGCAAAGAAATAATTTTATGGTTGGGGGTCACCACAACATGAGGAACTGTATTAAGGAATTGCAGCATTCAGAAGGTTGAGAACCACTGTTATAAACCATAATGTATTGTTAAAAGCAAAATATAATAATTAAAATCTTAAAAGAACCATAGAAAGAACTAAAGTGGTCACATTAGGGACCTGTTCCCAACCAGTGATGGTGGTGATGATAGTCATGGTAATACCTAACACAAATGGAATGTACACTATGTGCCGAGTGCTGGTGTAAGCATTTGCTGTGCACTACCCCAGTTCTTCTTTATAAAAATGCTCTAAATTTGAACTGTAATTAAATCTTAACCCCACACGTAAGAAAATTGAGGTGTGCAGAGTTTTAAAACCCACTTACTAAGTGATGGACTCAAGATTTGAAATCAAGCCTGTCTATCTCCCAAGCTCAGATCATAAGCACAAGATACTTGCTTCTGAGCATTATTGATCAGGAGATTAAACAAATACTTAGAACAGTGTAGACAATAATCCTTGGGCAAAATATGGCTATAGTCAATCACTTCATTATTGCCTGTGGCTGCTTTTACGATACTGTGCCAGAGTGTAAAATTAAAGGGCTCTTATGATCCACAAAGATGGAAATGTACATTATCTAGATATTTATAAAAAGAAGACGAGGAGGGGGTAGGAGGAGGAGAAGAAAACTTACTGATATTTGCCCTAGAAGTACTAAAAGGCAAATACTTGAAAACTATACAGCCTTATTCTTTGTTTGTTTATCTTGTTTTGTTTTTTGAGACAGGGTTTCTCTGTAGCTTTGGAGGCTGTCCTGGAACTAGCTCTTGTAGACCAGGCTGGTCTCAGACTCACATTGATCCACCTGCCTCTGCCTCCCGAGTGCTGGGACTAAAGGCATGTGCCACTACCACCCGACCTACAGCCTTATTCTTAGAAATGCATGTGCTTAGAAGCCAGGCATGGTAATGCACACCTCTAATCTCAGCACTCAGGAGACAGAAGCAGGTGAATCTCTTTGTATTCAAGGCCATCCTGGTCTACATAGTGAGTTCCGGGACAGCCAGAACTATATAATAGATCTTGTCTCAAAATAAGTTGTTTGCTTAAAAATAGTAGAGGAATCAAAAGGAAACACATAGCCACCTTCAAGCATCGGAAAGATCATTTATCACGTGGGTAAGGTCTCAGGTGGGTTCTGTAGTGTCCTAGAAGGAAGCTAGGCCTTATTATGACATGGTATAAAGAACATAGCATTGAGAAATAGTGGAATGAGGGAAGTGGGAGGACAGGAGAAAGAGGGAACTGGGATTGGTATGTAAAGTAAAATTATTTTTAACTTAAATTTAAAAAAAAAGAAATAGTGGAATGGTGCCTGAGGCTCCCTGTAACGATAGTCAAATGCTAAGAGACTGTGAATTTTATAAAGGGAATTTTAGCACCATTTTCACTAGATGGAAAGAACACAAATTTTATGTTAACAAACAGATAACTCAGCTGTCAAGTCTTTCAGAGTATTAGAGAAAAAAATAGAGTCATATATAGTAATAATTGCTTTTAGTTAAGAATTGTAGCAGAAATTTCTTCTCACCTTTGTGGATAAGATCAAATGAAGACTTGTAGTAGAAAGTGAATGATACTGAGCCTAATGGTGAGTATCCACAATTTTTCTGGCATGTATTCCCTTAAGGATGTCTTTATGTGAACTTACAGGGCAGTATGCATTTCACGGACAATATAGTGCAACAATCTTATGCAAAAGTATTTATTGATAGCTTTCTTTGAGTCAGATACTATATTGGTGCATGAAACTTTCATAGAACAAAATAGGCAAAACCCACAACTCAATTGGCACAGATAGATAGATAGATAGATAGATAGATAGATAGATAGATAGATAGGAAGGAAGAGCAGGGATACTATTGTATTAACTTCATGCCTGGGGAAGGATTCTCATGAATGGGATTCACTTCCTAGGGATCTACAGACATCCTCTTCATATGGAATGACATGAATGAGCCCTCAGTCTTCAGAGGACCGGAGCTAACCATGCAAAAGAATGCTGTTCATTATGGCAACTGGGAACACAGGGAACTTCACAACATCTATGGATTTTATCAGGTAAGACATCCAAATTAGAATGTAACTGGATTTGTATGCCCTGCTTTTAGACAGATTGTGTGTAATCAAGTGTACTGTGCATGTCTCTTTGTGTGTCTTTGCTGTCAACTGCAGTGAGTCTTAGATAATAGTCAATTTATTATTTCTCCCCTCTACTTCCTTTTCCTTTCACAGTAAGCCTAATAGGTTTTAAAACATTATTTATGGCATTTAATACTACTAGGAGATTTTTGTTGTCACAGGCAATCTAGAAACATGTTAACAAAGGTAATTAGAGTAAGGTTTTAAAATGTCATATATATCCATCTATTGCTAGCTTAGCTAAGGTTGGTGGCACACACGTGCAAACCTAACATTCATGATAGAGAGGGATTGTGACAGCCTGGCCTAGACTATATGACAAGACTCTGTCACAAAAGCAAAAAGGAAACAAGGCCTAGTGATGGCTCAGTGTTTAAGAGTTCTTGCTGCTCTTCCAGAAGACAGCGTGATTCCCATCACCTAACCCAAGCAGCTCAAAACATCCCATAACTCCAGCTCCAGAGGATCCAACAGTTTCTTCTGGCCTTCAGAAGTACTCACACAGGGAGTTTACAATCACATATACATAAATTTTAAGAGTATTTTTAGAGGGATTAGAGATATGGTAAAGTGGTTCAATCCCCAGCATTCACATGGCAGCTAACAACCATCTGTAATTCCAGTTCCAGGGGATCCAAAGCCTCTTCTGGCCTCCATGAAGAGTACATGCACATAGTGCACAGACATATGAATAGGCAAAGCACCCACATATAAAAGAAAAAATTTTTAAGTTTTTTTAAAAAATCAAGCAACATTATATATACATATATATACATATACATGTATGTATCTATATACATGTATGTATCTATATACATGTATATGAATACACATATAGATCTCCCAACATTCACACCAGGAGAGTAAGACTACAAGACTTAATATATAAATTTATATTTTAAAAATATATATATATCTTAGTTTCTATTGCAGTGATAAAACACCAAGGTCAAGGTAACTATAAATGAAAGCATTTAATTTACCCTATGGATTCAGAAGTTTAGAGACCATGGTGGCATAACAGAGCAACAGCTGAGAGCTCATATCTTGTGGCACAAGTTTTGAAACTTCAAAGCCTACCCCTGGTGACACAACAAAGTTACGCCTCCTAATCCTTCCCAAACAGTTCCACCAACTGGGGACCAAGTATTCAAATATATAAGCCATTCTCATTAAACCACCACAGTATTCTTTTTAAATGTGTTTCTTTAGAATAAGATTGTGTGCCTATAGGTATTCTACATTTGCTGTTTTCTAATGGGAGCTGCTGGCTGGATAGAGCCTTTTCCAGGTACTACATGTTTATTTCTCTATCAGCTTTTTGCTTTAATTGCCAAGTGCCTTAGGGAGTTGTTTATGTAGGCTGAAGTGAACACTTAACCTCTCTGAATTTATTTTTTAATCAATGAAAGCCATTTGACTCACAGATTATTGTGTAGATCATAAGGAAATATATTACAAAATGCCTACCAATAGTACCACTGAATAGCTTGGATTTTTGTGTTGTTGTGCTGCATGTGTTTGTTTTCTGCAGTGCTGGGGACTGAATCCTGGGCTTCAGGTATGCTGGGTAGCTCTTCTACTCATTTGCATCTCCATTCCAGTTTACTATTATTTCATTGACATTGCTAACCAAATAAATGTTTCCATCTTTACTAGGCAAATTATTTTCTCTTTTCATAGTCCCTCCAACTGTTACATGTTAGTCTTCTATTGAGGATGTTGACACAATGCCCTCACCCTGTCTCCCCTTTCTAATCTTTCTCCATTGGCTTTCAGCAAATGGCTACTGCAGAAGGATTGATACAGCGATCTAAAGGGAAGGAGAGACCCTTTGTTCTTTCACGTTCTTTCTTTGCTGGATCACAAAAGTATGGTAAGAAATGGCTCACATTATAAAATGCAAGGTAGCTACCCAATCTTTTCTTTTGAGCACCATTTATGATAAATGCTGCCTGCTGCCACTGTGTACCTCTTCAATAGTCTTATAACTTACAGTGTAGAGCACGATGTGCTCTGACATGTGTGTTTTATACTATGAATAAATGGTTTGTTGGTACAGTAGACTGCCTAGTAGGCAAGGGGCCCTGGGTTCAATGTTCAGCACCATATAAACCCAGGCAAGGTGGTGCATGTTTGTAATCCTAGCAATCAAGAGGTAAAAGGAGGGAAAACAGAAGTTCAAGGTCATCTTCCAAGGCCATCTTGGCCTTCATGAGACACTGTCTCCCTTTGACACCCCAAAAGACAGTAAACCAATTTTCATCAAGTTAGTACTTTTTTTCTACTTAAAAAAAATGGCAACTTACTTGTTAGGAGAGTGACTTCAGAGTATTCAGTTTTCTCTGATCCTATCTTTTTGACTTGTGAAAACCAGGGAAGCAAATCTCTACCACACTGCTTCAGCCAGCTGCTCCACATAACAGTGTGGCTTAAAATAGAACTGACTTGCTGTCAAGGTCATCTATGACTGTATCTGGTTTACGACCTGATACAGATCTAGTTCAACTTAACCACTCTGTGGCAGAAAGGCTATTTTAAGGCCCCCGTCCTTGTGCAAGTAGCTGAGAGCATAGGTCCTGGAGTAAAGAACCTTGACTTTGTTGTATCATAAACATTTTTAGGTCTGTCACTCAAGCTCCCCAGACCAGTTCCTGTGTTCTTCAGCCAAAGGACAGAACAGTGTCATCAGAGATGCATATCATAGCGTTAGACCTTGGGGCCCAAAGGAAAGTCTACATGTGTAACTGTAAAGGAAAGGTTACAAAAGTGTGAGTTATCCACAGGACAGACTATCATGAGGCAGTTTGAAATTATAGTTTAAATGTCTTTTCATTTATTTTAGGGGTGACACATGCCACCAGTATATAAAGGCTAGAGGCCAACCTGGGTTATTAGTTCTCTCCTTCCTTAAAGTAATAGTTTTTTTTTATTTATTTTTTACATTTCCTCTCCTCCCGCTTCCCCCTCATCTCCCCCACCCCACCTCCCATCTGCTCCTCCGAGAGGGTAAGGTCTCCCCTAGAAATAGTAATAGTTTTAAACTAATAGTTTTAATTGCATGGGAATAGACTTGTAACATTATATACATTGAAAAAGAAAGCATGCCTAAGTGATATTCATTATCCCAATTGCTAAAAATGTAAATGCAATAATTTAAATCAGTAAATAGATTTCAGTACAATATAAGAAAATTTAAGCCTGTAATCCTAGCACTTGGGAGTGGAAGTAGAAGTTCAAGGTCATCATAAGCTCATAGGAAGCTTGAAACCAGCCTAAGATACATGAGATTCTGTCTCAGAGATAAATAATAAGTAAGGGCCAGCAACATGGCTCACTGGGTTAAGGCACTTGCTACCAAACCTAATGACCAGAGTTCAATCCCAGGGATCTACATTGTAGAAGGAGAGAGAACCAACTCCCACAACCCAGGCTACATAGTGAGTTCCTATCTCAAGAAAAAAAAAAGCTGCAGGAGAAATTAGGGAGGGAGAGAATTAATGAAAAGTTTTGTAGGCAACACTTTAAAAAAATAAGAGATGTGGATGTTAGTGGGTTTTTTTGGAGTTTTTTTGTTCTGTTTTTTGTTTGTTTGCTTGCTTGTTTGTTTGTTTGTTTGTTTGGTTGGTTGGTTGGTTGATTGGTTTGGTTTGGTTTTTTTTTTGAGAGAGAATTTCTCTGTGTAGCCTTGGAGCCTGTCCTGGAACACACTCTGTAGACCAGGTTGGCTTCAAACTCGTAGAGAGATCCACCTGCCTCTGCCTCCTGAGCGCTAGGACTAAAGGTGTGCCCCACCAACGCCAGGCTCTTTTGGAGTTTTTATGCAGGGTCTCACTATGTAGCTCAGGCTGGCCTTGAACTTGTAGCAGTCCTCTTGCCTCTCCCACCCCAATGCAGGAATTGCACTTGAATGCTTCCAGGCCCTGTAAGTTATTTCTGATCTTTTCAATGCTGTTCCACTTCCTAGTCGGCAGTACTCTTGTGATTATTTGCCCAGTGTTTATCGAAGAGAACATGACTTCTTTTAGTCACATATTTGCCAGTAGCTATAAAGAATTTGTGACTGAACAACCATGTTAACCATGATGCATCTGTGTGTCTACATGAGTTTTCTTTTTTTTTTTTTTTTTTTTTTGGTTTTTCGAGACAGGGTTTCTCTGTGGCTTTGGAGGCTGTCCTGGAACTCGCTTGGTAGTCCAGGCTGGTCTTGAACTCACAGAGATCCGCCTGCCTCTGCCTCCCGAGTGCTGGGATTAAAGGCGTGCGCCACCAACGCCCAGCTACATGAGTTTTCTTTATGAAAGTGTTGCCATGGTTTCAAAACCATTTTGTGGATATATCCATAGTTCAATTGATGTCAAGAAAAAATTACTAGAATACTGCTTTTAAAAATCCCTTAAAAATATTTTCTAGAGCTAGAGAGACAGGTCAGTAGTTAAGAGTGCTGGCTGCTCTTCCAAAGAACCCAAGTTCAATTCCCAGCACCCACATGGCAGCTCACAACTGTCTGTAACATGTGTTCCAGTGGTTCCAATTCCCATATACAGAAATACATGCAGGTAAAATACCAATGTATATAAAATAAAAATAAATTATTAAAAATAAAATTATTAAAAATATTTTTCTTTGCCTATAGGGCAACTCAACATTTCTACAGAAGATTAAAACAAAAATATCTACTGAAACAGTTTTTGTAAAAGATTGACTAGATGTTGTAAAATAAGATCATTTCCCCTCTTATGTGTTTCTTCAGTGATGTGCAATCTGTCATCATAAACTCTTAACAACAATAATGTGAACTGTAACTTTGGCTTTAATGGTCTGACTTCTAGACTCAGATCTATTTAATGACTAAATATGGAGCCACTATTTACCATATTCCCTAGTGTATAAGATAGAACTAATAATAGAGTTTGCCTTATAGAATTATTGTGATAATCAAGTGGGACAAGAAACCCAGAATATTTTGTTTTGTTTGAGTTTTTTGTTTGTTTGTTTGTTTTTGAAACAGGGTTTCTCTGTGTAGCCCTGGCTGTCCTAGAACTCACTCTGTAGATTAGGCTGGCCTTGAATTCACAGAGATGCTTCTAACTCTGCCTCCTGAGTGTTGAGATTAAAGATGTGTGTTGCTACTGCCCTATGTTTTATGGACCTTAATAACTTTTTCACATTAGAAAATTGATGCTTTTGCAGAAATATCAGAATTTGTTTATTATTTGTGTCTTTTACAAATATGCAATGTAAATGAAATGGAGTGCATTGGATGATTTATGTGTGTTTCCATGACTTTTTGTGGGCTATCTAAGGTGCAGTATGGACGGGAGATAATGCAGCAGAATGGAACTATCTGAAAATTTCCATCCCAATGTTACTCACCCTCAGTGTCTCGGGGATCTCTTTCTGTGGAGGTAAGCTGATTCTTGACTTGAGGTTTCCAGTAGGAGGAAATGAGAAGTGAGAGTCTTCAATGCTCATTAGCTTTTTGGGGCAAAGATGAATGCAGGAAAGAAAATGGGAGGAGAGAAAAGGGATGCTTCAAAATTTATTGCACAGCCTGGTGTGGTGGCTCACACCTTTAATTCCAGCCCTCTAGAGGCAGAGGTAAGAGGATCTCTGTAAGTTCAAGGCCAGTCTGGTCTACACAGCAAACTCCAGGACAGCTGGCATTACATAGAGAAATCCTATTTCAATAATAATAATTACCATTATTATTATTATTTTACATGTATCTTGTCTGAATTGAGAACATGAAGTCAGGCAGTAGATGGGGAGTCTGTTTCCTTCCTTCGTTCCTTCAACACTACCTCCAGAGACACAGTAACTGAGTCTTCCAGAAATATACTTTTCTTCTTGAAAGTGGAAAGAATGAGAGCACTGCAAACAACTTAGCAAGCCAAAAGCCAGACGAGGGCTGAGTGTGCAGCTCAGCAGCGTGCTAGCCTGGTGTGCTCAAGGCCTGGAGTTTGATGGCAGCTGCATAGCCAAGGGACCTAAAGAACCAGCCTTACAAAAACACTTTCTACCCAGCAGATGTAAGATTCTGTGACATAATTTAACTGTTTTCTTCTTTAAGATATGCTCGGTTGGTACAGTGCTTGCCTAGCATACAAGAAGCCCTCAGTTTGATCCCCAGCCCCACATAAAAACAAGCATGGTTGCATATACCTAAGATCTCAGGACTAGGACAGGGAAATAGAAGGATCAAAGGTTCAAGGTTGTCCCTAGCTACTAGCATGACGGAGGTCAGACCAGGCTACGTAAAACCCTGTGAAAAAGATGTGACTGTAGGGAGGGCTCAGTCAGTGAAGTTCTTGCTAGACAAACATGAGGACTTAAGTTCAGAACCCCAGCACCCATGTAAAAGAGCCAGGCACTGTGGCACATGCCTGTAACCCAAAGCTGGGGAGGCTGGGAAAGGAGAGTCCCTATTGCTTGCTGTCCAGCCAATGAAGAGTAACTGAGGAAGACACTGAAGTCAGGTTGTGGCCTCTGCATGCACATACACCTTCTCACACATGAACACACACATACATATGCACACATACATGTCTGAGGACTTGTCATCCTGCATCCTTAGAATTCAATGCAAATAAATGAACCAATATGAAGGTGCGGGGTATATACTGGCTGCAGTTCTGGCTGCAGGTCTGGATGCTTTTTTTTCTCTACTAGAATAAAAACAAATTAATATCATTTTTTTGATATGTGTGTCTTTGTGCGATTGGTTCATATACAAGAAATACATGTCGTACTCAAGGTGTGAGCACGAAATTCTACCTAAACCTCCAAGGCTGACAACTTGCTTTTCAGTGGTTAATGTTATTTTGCCTTTTCTTCCAAAAGAAATAAATGACCAGACACACACTTAACTGGGGGACGTTGTGTAATTTCTGGGTGATGGAGGATCTAGAACACAGAATCATAGAGCATTCTGTCAGATCCCTGAATGGGCTAGTTTTTGTGGCTCAAAGTCCCCTTTGTCACGCCATAGGTTTGCTTGTCCTGTCTAGCTTCTCCTCTCAGTTTTCAAGGCCTTGCTTTACCTTCACACACCATTTATTCCAAGTCTGGTCTTTCTCTGTCTAACCAGCTGATGTGGGTGGCTTCATTGGCAATCCAGAGGCAGAGCTGCTGGTGCGTTGGTACCAGGCTGGAGCTTACCAGCCCTTCTTCCGTGGCCATGCCACCATGAACACCAAGCGTCGAGAACCCTGGCTGTTTGGGGAAGAATACACCCGGCTGATCCGGGAAGCCATCAGAGAGCGCTACACCCTCCTACCCTATCTGTACTCCGTGTTTTACCGTGTGCACATGTCTTCTGAACCTGTCATGAGGTATAAAGGGCATGCTCTAGTTAGGGGCTCCCACAACCTACCAAGGATGAGGGACTGGAAAAGGGGACAAGAGCCATGTGTTTAGTCAAGTTTCAATCAGCTTCACTGCCTGTTGTGCACGGGTGTCAGCTGTTGTGCACGGGTACCAGCTGTTGTGCATGGGGTGCTGGCTTGTGATTAGAGTATTGGTATTTGCTGAGATGGAAATGTAAAGAATAAGGAAATTACTTTGCAGCTAAATAACTTTAGCATTTTATGCATAAGCCTCCTCACATGAAAAATAAATTTCCCTACCATCTGAGGCTTGATGTTACCCATAGGGTTGAAATTGAGGTGGGTTTTTTTTTCTAGCATATAAATTCTATTTTGAAGGCAAAAATCAACTTTCTAGGTTAGAGAAAAACATGTCCAGACTTTGGAGTCCACAGTTCCTAAACTTGCTTCAGACCAGACATTTCCTGGTGATTCTAGTCATCAGCCAGGATTGGAGACACCTGCTTTGTATCATTCAGTAGAAACAGAATGTGTTGTTGCAAAGGCTGGTAAATAAATGACAAGTTTCATTTATTAAAAGAAAATATTAGGCTAGAGAGTTGGCTCAGCAGGTAAGGAGTTGTTGCCCTTACTGAGGACCTGGATTCAATTCCCAGCACCCACATGGTGACTCACAACTGCCTGTAACTCCAGTACTGGGGGATCCAGTACCCTCTTTAGGCACATGAAGGTACCAAGCATGCATATGGTGCACATATATACATGCAAGCAAGCCACTCATACACATAAAATAATTTTAAAACTCTAAAATATATTTCAGTTAAAAAAATATCTTTAAAAAAAATATCTTTTCGGCCTGGCGGTAGTGGCTCATGCCTTTAATCCCAGCACTCGGGAGGCAGAGGCAGGTGGATCTCTGTGAGTTCAAGGCCAGCCTGATCTATGAAGCTACACAGAGAAACCCTGTCTCAAAAAAAATCTTTTCCTTGGGGCTGGAGAGATAGCTGATCAGTTAAAAGCAGTTGCTGCTCTTATCTTTACAAGAGCAAACCTAAGTTTGGTTCCCAGCATTGATGTTTAGCTCCAAGGGCTCCAGGCCTGCTTCTGACTCCTGAGAAAGCGCTTGCACCCAAATGGTACACACACACAATTAAATAAAATTAAAGATGGTTGGAACCACTAAGTTGCTATCTAGACACAGATATTAGGAGTTTTGTTGTTTTTATGAACCTAAGTGACTCCTAGATGAGTTCTATTAAACAATAACTATTTTTAAATGTTGGTAATTTCTCACTCTTCTCCAAAGTGTTATCAGCTTGAAAGCAATGAAAACTAGTTCCTTATCTAAGTAAATAATGATTAAATGATACATAAAAGTCAGTGACTACAAGAAGTGGCACAGAATTATCATTATAATAAAATGTGATTTTCTTTTTGCAAACATTTACTTAACAACAAAAAAGTAGGCATTTAGACTTGCCTTAGGTTTGTCTGTTAGAGTGGTAGTTACTCAATAGCCAGATAGGAAAGCAGCACATAATAGAATTCTCAATATTTCATTAGGACATTCAGGTTGATAGAAAACTCTTTCACATAATAAATATAAAGTAACCATAGCAACTGCTCATAAGCTCTTTGGTCATATGAAAAAGAATCTTGGCTCTTTGGTACTTACCAATTCCTTTGGTACTTTCAGTTATAACACTGAAAATATAAAAAATCTAATAAAACACTTAGCACCAAGAATAATAAAAACATAATGACATTTTAAAATATGAATTGTTTCCTTTCCCCAGGCCTCTGTGGGTCGAGTTCCCTGATGACTTAGAGACTTTCAGTGTGGATGATGAATACATGCTAGGTAAGTATTTATGGGTTAGTTATGGCTGTGATGGATTCTGTAACTATATTTTTATTATATTTCCTAGTGAGAGTACTCCAAGGTTAAGAAAGATGATAATAATACCAAAAAGATCCCTTCACCTTTTTTTTTCTTGAGTCAGGGTCTTATTTAGCCCGGGCTGGCCTGGAATTTACTCTGTATCCCAAGTGCTGGGATTACAGGCATGCCTCATCACACATGGTGTTGGGATTGAGCCTGGAGCCTCATACCAACTCAGCTACAGTCCCAGCCCTCCTTAACCAGAGATTTAATGTGATAGTGAGACCGTGGCTCTAGTCTGTTGTAATATAGCCCTTACAATACAGTTCTTACTAGTGCCAAATAAATCCATTGCATTGGTGGGTGTGATTTGAGGGTTTTGGTTGGGGCCCACTTCCCAAGCCTGGTAAGATTGCTACAGAAAGGAAAATATGAAAAGTAGATCAGATGACTATAGTAAAGACACTCATGAACTTGTTTCATGTGTAATAGTTGACCTCATTTTTTTTTCTTGTGAGTCAGGGCTTTGTAGCCCAGGTTGTCCTTGAACTTGTAATCCTTTTCGTCAATATCCAGATTGCTGAAATTGGAAGCATATACTCCCATGACTAGCTAGGTTTCTTTAATGAGGATGAACTGTGAAATCTAGAACATGGAAGCTTATTGTATTAAGAATGGAGCTCAAGAACAAGCTAGATATTGAGACCCAAAGAATGAATTAGATTCTAAATAGTGGAAACCTCCAAATGTAAATAATAGTAGTAACAATTACAGTAATATAGTTCAGGGCATGCTCTTGTATAACATGCACAAGGCTCTGTGCTCAGTCCCTGGCACTTGAAACTTCAGCTTAGTCACTGCCTTGGAGAAATGTCTTTTATCTTTCCTTACCTTTTTATACCTTAGTTTTTTCCTCCCCACTTAAAGTCAGTCCTGCCTCTTATGTAATTTTCATTTTGCTTTATATTTTTACCTCTTTCAGTATTTATTTTAGCCCTAGTTCACTTGTAATTACTTTTTTAAAAAAGATTTATTTAGTTATTTAGTTTATGTGTGAGTGCTCTATCTACATGTACATCTTTATTCCAGAAGAGGGCATCAGATCCCATGTTGAGATCCCATGTTGACAGTTGTAAGCCGCCAATGTGGTTGCTGGGAATTGAACTCAGGACCCCTGAATAAGCAGACAGGGCTCTTAACTGCTGAGCCATCTGACCAGTACTATAATTACTTTTAATATATGTCTTTGTCACTTACTACAAATTCCATGAATGTTGGAGCCATGTTTGTTTTCTTTATTCCTATGTCCTCAGAGCCTAGCATGGTGCCTGAAACTCAGTAAATAAATCTTTATTGACTAGAAGAAGCAATTCAAGATAGGCATAGTGGCACATGCCTATAATCTCAACCCTCACAATACTAAGGCAGGAGGATCACAAGTTCAAGGTGCTTGGGTTATATAGTTAAACCCTATAAATAAACTTTTAGGATGAATTAATTAGTAGATACACTTTACACATGTGTGATACCAATATGAAAACAAAAGTAACACTCCAGACTATCCCTAAGAGAAGTACAGATCTGCAGTGGTAACTGTATTATGGGGTAATCTTTCTGTACACTGTTAAGCTGTATCTCTGCCAAGGCACATTCTGATTGGTTAAATAAAGAGCTGAATAGCCAATAACTGGGCAGGAAAGGCTAGATGGGACTTCCAGGGAGAGAGAAGGACTCCTGGGAAGAATTTGAAAGGTGGGAATTTGCCAGTGAGACCCAAAACAAGTTGAATGTACAATATGTAGGGGAGATAACAAGCCACGTGACAGAATGTAGATTAACATAAACAGGTTAATTTAATTTATAAGAGTTAGTTGGGAGTAAGCCTAAGCTAAGGCCAAGCCTTCATAATTGATAAAAGGTCTCTGTGTCATTATTAGGGAGTTGGCAGTCCAAAGAAGGTCCGACTACAGTAACTGTCTAAGCAAAGGGCCTGAAAAGCTGCATTGACCAGACTTCTAGATAACATTGTGGCTCACTCTAACCAGCGTCATTCGTAGCAAACAATGAAGCACTTGGGAAGATGCAATGGTGCTTTCTGATTGCTAGCATACATCTAGGTATACAGAAAATGAAACTGGAACTGAGCATGGCTGTTCAAGCTTGTAATGGTAGTACTGGAGAGCCTGAGACAGGAGGATCATCCTAAGAGCAAGTTCCAGGTCAGTCTTGGCTACATAGCAAGACCTTGTCTCAAAAAACCCAAAAGTCAATGCAAATAGCACACAAGATGCAATGGAATATTTGTGGGTCCCTGCCCTATAATCCTATCAGCCACAAGTGGGTTTAATCCGTTACCTTTTTGAGCCCTGTCCTTTTTATACTGTTGCTTCTCACTGGTGAATTATTTGTTCAACTCGCATAGTCTCCAACTTATAGAAGATCACAGTCTAGTGATCTTAAGCAAAAGGAGCTTTCAGGTTTTCTATAATGATACTCAGTTTTATCTCCTCTTCATTTTTTAGGAAGTGCTTTATTGGTTCATCCAATTACAGAGCCACAGACAACCATGGCTGATGTATTCCTACCAGGGTCAAATGAGGTAAGAGCAATAACAGACATATCTTGTGTCTCCTAGCTCTCATGCCTCCATTTCTCTTGGGAAAGAGATTGATTCCAGCATGCAGTTGTGAATTTGCCTCAGATGACTGTAGGTTTTCAGCAGTCATGACTGTAACTTAATGGGGGAAGATGGAGAAGATGAATAGGTGACAACCTTAGGGGGGATTTGCCTTCACACTTTGACTTTTATGGAGATGGGGGACATGGTTTTAAGGTAGAAGATTTATTCCACCCAATTACTTTGTGGGACTCTTTTTGGTAATTCAGCAGCTAACCTCCTTTGCTAGGGCTCCCAGATAAGAGTTAGGACCTTGTCTCCGAATCTCAAATTCACCCCGGAAAAAAGCAATGCTGTAGGGGTAATCAAGTTTCCCTGGATTTCCCCCCAGGTCTGTTTCTTCTTTCCTCCTGCCTCATGTGTGCTTGGTTTGTTTGCTGTATGCCTTCCCTTCCTTTGTTTTGTCTTCTCTCTTTCATCTTACTTAGGGTTACAAGCATTAAGTTGGCTTATTTATTGTGTGTGCATGATGGGGCATGGACACACGCCACAGCATGCACATGGAGATCAGAGAACAATTCTATGTAGTCAGTTCTCTCCCTCCCCCTCTGTGTGGGTTCTGAGGAGCAAATTCAGGCATCCAATCTTTACCATTACTTTCTGAGACATGTCACCAGCGCAAGCATGAAGCTTTTACAAGTCAGTGGACAATTATGTCACACTGGAGTTTCCATGATGGGACTTTAATTTTTTCCCTTTAATTTTGTTTTATTGGAGGAGGGACACAGGAGCAGAGGGTGGATGTGAAGGGATGGGAAAATGGATGGAATCAAGATACATGATGTAAAAGACACACAGAATAAATAAAAAGGGGGAAAAAAGAATCATGGAGACATCAACATCATCTCAGTCTTTCACTCACACCAAGTTCTTAACTACCACACATATTTAGCACCTAGCACTGTGGTAGGTTTCTCAGTAATTAACTTTTGAATGTATAGATGGACAAGGAATGGTCTTTAGCTCATAAAGCATATCCTTTGGTAGCATTTTACTCTTCTTCCTCTTTTTGAGATGGGGGTCTCATGTATCTCAGGCTAGCTTTGAAATTTAAGATGAACTTGAACTTCTGATCCTCCTGCCTAGAATTACAGTCTTGTATCACCAGGCCCAAGTATCACCAGGCCCTAGTACCACCAGGCCCAAGTACCACCAGGCCCTAGTACCACCAGGCCCAAGTACCACCAGGCCCAAGTACCACCAGGCCCAAGTACCACCAGGCCCTAGTACCACCAGGCCCAAGTACCACCAGGCCCAAGTACCACCAGGCCCAAGTACCACCAGGCCCAAGTACCACCAGGCCCAAGTACCAGTACCACCATGCCCAAGTACCACCATGCCAAGTTTATCCTATGCTGAGAATTGAACACTGGGCTTTGTGCATGCTTTGGGACTTTCTTTTTCTTCCCTCCTTCCCTCCCTCCCTCCCTCCTTCCCTTCCTTCTCTCCCTTCCTCCCTCTCTCTCTCTGTCTCTCTCTGTCTCTCTGTCTCTGTTTCTCTCTCTCTCTCTCTCTCTCTCTCTTTCTTTCTCTCTTCCTTTTGAGACAGGGATTCTTTGCATAGCCTTGGCTGTACTAGAACTCAGTCTGTAGACCAGGCTGGCTTTAAACTCACTGAGATCCGCCTGCCTCTGCCTCTTGAGTGCTGGGATTAAAGATGTGCGCCACCACCACCCAGCTGAGATTTTCTTAAAAGAATATATCAGATCTGGTGGTACAGGCTCATAATTCTACTAGGAAGTTTGCAAGTTCAAGGCCTAGCTGGGCTACATGGTGAGTTCAAGGCCAGCCTGGGTACCTTGTAAAACTCTGTATCCAATAAAAAGTAAAGAGAGCAAGAGATACACTTCAGTGGTAAATTCGTTAGGGTCAATCCCAAGTAGCACATACACACGTGTATCCCCCCAACACGCAAAGACACACAGATACACACATTCACACAGCATTGGGGGTATTCTTCCTAACTTCTCCCACAAATTTTAATTATACGTATTTGAAGTTTCTTTTTATTCCTTCCTGTGATTGCGAGAGAGCTTTATTATAGGACAAAAGGACATAGTCACTGGGTAAACGCAGGCTTCTCAAGAGAGATTGCTCATATTCTCTTTTCAATAGAGTCTGTTACGTTTTAGGTCTGGTATGACTCTAAGACATTTGCACAGTGGAAAGGAGGATGTACTGTGAAGATTCCAGTAACCTTGGATACTGTAAGTTATTTTCAGAGGATTATTTTTACCTATCTAGCTGTGTTGTTCTGTTTATAAAACAGCCTGGGCGGTAGACAACAGAAATTTTTCTTCCCATAGTTCTAAAGGTATAAGACCTACATCAAAGTGTCAGCTGACCCAGGTCCTCCTGGCATGCAGGGGCGATGGGATGGAAGAGAAAGAGGACAGTGTTCTTGTAAATGGGGCTGGGGAGTTGGCTCGGTGGCTAAGAGTACTGTTGCTCTCACAGAGAACCTAGGTTTGCTTCCCAGCACCCACATGCAACTTTGTTCTTTGAGGAGGGTTGTTTGTTTGTATGTTTGTTTAAAGAAGGAAGGAATGAAAAGAAAAAAGAGTTAGCTTCCCTTCTTCCTGCTTGTGAGTTAAGTGGGGGTAAGGGGAGCATCTCCTCCTCTCTCTCTGAATCACACATATTCTTGTCCTCTCCTCCTTGCTAACACTTTACTCAGAGAAAAGCACGGGCACTCATGTGATCTTGGCAGTTCCTTGTAGAGGCAAGAAGCCTACCAGGTTTTCCTGCAGAGAGCCATAGCAGAGGACTGGTAGGTGTGGACCACGCCCATAGCCATGTTGTTAGCATCACTTCACAGTCCCTTGATGGTTCCTGTAGCAGAAGCAGCTTCTGGGCCTCAGAACTGAGTCAGTCATCCTGCTGACCCAGACAAGCAGGGTCAGAAAAGTGTACGGATGCTGTGAGAAAGGACACATCACTTCCCCAGACACAGAACACTTTGTGTACACAAGCACTTGGAGCCCTTTACATAAACAGGAAAATCCACTCTTTAGCATGTCTCTAGAATAGCATACTTATTTTATTGACAAGAATGTTAAAGTTCTAAAATAGAATGTCCTTTCTGATCAAGTTGAAAAATGAGTTTTTAGGGGTAACTCTGAGTCTCTAATAGGATGAGCAGAATTTAAATGAAAAAGAGGCAAGGACAGTGTGCTAGTTGGTTTTTGTCAACCTGACATAAACTAGAGTCACCTGGGAAGAGGAGCCTCAGTTGAGGAATTGCTTCCATCAGACTGGCCTGTAGCAAATTTGACTGACATTCCTTGATTGTTGACTGATGCAGAAGGGTACAGCTCACTGTGAGTGGTACCACCCCAGGGCAGGTGGTCCTGGGAGGTATAGGGATGGCAGCTGAGCATGGTCCTGGAAGCAAGCCATTAGCAGTGTTTCTCTATGATCTCTGCTTCAGTTCCTGTCTCCAGGTTCCTGTCTTGATTTCACTTGATGAGGGTGCTGTAAGCTGTAAGACGATATAAACCCCTTCCCCTCAACTTGCTTTCAGTCAGTGTTTTATCACAGCAACAGAACCCAAGCTAAGACAGGCACATAAAGATAATAAATTGGGTGGTTTATACAATTGCCCCAATATCTTAAAATGTGGATGGCTTGGGGCCAGCGAGTTAGCTCAGTGCTTGTCATGCAAACCTGACAACCTCAATTCAGTTCTCAGAACCCACTTAAAGATGGAAAGAGAGAATTAACTTCACAAAGTTATGTTCTGACTTTCACACACATGCCATTATTACATGGATGTGTCACACAATATACACACAAAGCAATTATAAATAATAAGTAAGTAATTTTAATGGACCATTTTTTAGTCAAGCCATTTTCTTTTAACTTCACAATCACTATGCTTGCCATTTCTCTGCCCATAAATATTCTTTGCTTGAGTCTACATCTGTAAAGAGTATGGATCTCATATAGTGAAATATTTTAAAATTCTACTTGGAAAGTTCCTTGTATGGGTGTGTCTGAAAGACCCCGGCCCAGCACCGGTGGCTGAGGCCTATGGAAAATTCCTTTCCCCCACAGCTCAGCCGAATAGTCATTTTTTTGATCAGAAGGAAGCTCAGCTCAAGGTCTTTACAGCTGCATAGTCACTACTATCTCTGTCCAGATAGGGGCCCAGGTGTCTATGGTCTGCACAGCCAGCCCAGAAAGATTGGGCAGGAACCTTTGTTCTTCAGATAGGGCCAAGGCCGAGAATTGGTTCTGAGAGAAACCTTAATTGCCTCTCTGTCCAGATGAGAGAAACCTTAATTGCCTCTCTGTCCAGATGAGAGAAACCTTAATTGCCTCTCTGTCCAGATGAGAGAAACCTCGTTCTGAGCCCCCGCCTCATTTAAATTACCCAATCAGGGTCCTGTAACTAGGCTTCTCGCTTCTGTACTGCGCTTTTTGCTATAAAAGAACCCCTGAGTCCCCAGCTCGGGGCTCTCAGTTCCCGAGACTGAGACGCCCCGGGTACCCGTGTATTATCAATAGAGCCTCTTGCTGTTTGCATCCAAGCTCGTGGCCTCGGTGTTCCTTGGGTTCGGGTCTCCCTCCCGTGAAAGTCCCCCGCCTGGGGTCTTTCATTTGGTGCATTGGCCGGGAATTGAGACCCTGCCCAGGGACCACCGACCCACTTCTGGGAGGTAAGAATTGTCCGGACTAAATTTCTGTTGTTTCTGTTGTCTGCTGTCTGTCTGTCTATGCCTGTTGTTTTATTGCGCCTGCGTCTGTAATATACAGCTGTATACATCTGTATCTGGTGGCACCGACCGCAGCTCTAGGACACGATCTGCCTCGTCTGTTTGGGGCCCCGTCTGTTTGGGGCAGGTGTCCATCTGCCCCGTCTGGAGTTCTTAGGAACTCGTCTGTTTGGGGCCCCGTCTGTTTGGGGCAGGTGTCCATCTGCCCCGTCTGGAGTTCTTAGGAACTCGTCTGTTTGGGGCCCCGTCTGTTTGGGGCAGGTGTCCATCTGCCCCGTCTGGAGTTCTTAGGAACTCGTCTGTTTGGGGCCCCGTCTGTTTGGGGCAGGTGTCCATCTGCCCCGTCTGGAGTTCTTAGGAACTCGTCTGTTTGGGGCCCCGTCTGTTTGGGGTAGGTGTCCATCTGCCCCGTCTGGAGTTCTTAGGGAACTCGTCTGTTTGGGGCAGGTCTGTATCTGGAGCTGGAGTTCTTAGGGACTCGGTTGTTTGGGGTAGATGCCTAGGAATCTGCCCCGTCTGTTTGGGGAAGTCCCGCTGGCCGAAGGAGTTTCCATCCTGATAGGGGACAAGGACGGGAGCACAAGGCCCCCGTCCCCGATCTGAATTTGCTTTTGACTTTCATCAAAGCCGCGCAGCGAAAATCTGTTTGTTTTTGTTTCTTATCTGTTCGTCCGTCTTAGTGTCGTTTGTCATCGCTCTCGAGAAAATGGGCCAGACAGTTACCACTCTGCTTAGCCTGACCCTTTCACATTGGCAACAGGTCCAGGAGTACGCTCGTAACCGGACTGTCTGATGTGCGCAAGAAGCAATGAATCACCTTTTGCTCTTCTGAATGGCCAACTTTTGATGTTGGCTGGCCACGAGATGGCACCTTTAACCCTCAAATTATTTTCCAGGTGAAAGAGAAAGTCATGGATCCTGGACCCCAGGGCCACCCGGACCAAGTACCCTATATAGTTACCTGGGAAGTGCCGGTCTATGACCCTCCCTCCCCCTCCTCTTCCCTAACCCCCGCCGCCGCCGCTGCGGCACCGCTCGGGCTGCGGCCCATTTCCGGTTCGCGTTCAGCGTCCCGGCCGCTGCGCGAAGGGCGCCCTGAATGTGACGGCGCGACCGACCGGCGACAATGCGAGGGGAGCTGTGTCTGCCTCCCTGCGGCCCGCGATGGACCGGGTCAGAGAGCGGCCGCCACGCCCCTCGGCCCCGCTCCCCGGCAGACGCTCCGGCCCTTTCGGGCGGCGCCGTAGCCTCAGCCCGCTCCGGATTAAACCGTCCTGCCTCCGGACGGGCCATGATGGCCAGTTGCAGTACTGGCCGTTCTCTGCCTCAGATCTTTATAACTGGAAAAATAATAACCCCTCCTTTTCAGCAGACCCCGTGAGACTGACTGATCTATTAGAATCGGTTCTCACTGCCCAACAGCTTTTTGCAAGTCCTCCTAACTTCGGAGGAGAGACAGCGGGTCCTTGAAGCCCGGAAAATTTGTTCCTGGGGCAAATGGACAACCTACGCAGCTTCCAAATGAAATTGATGCTGCCCAGACTGGGACTTCACCACTGAGGCAGGTAGGACCCATCTAATGTCTTTAATGCCAGTTGCTTGTAGCGAGTCTCCGAAAGACGGATAAGCAATCTATAAATTTGGCCCAGGTAAGACAGATAGTTCAGAAGGCAGAGGAATCGCCAGCCGCATTTTTTTGAAAGACTTAAGGAAGCTTACAGAATGTATAACCCATATGACAGGGGTATACACTACCAGATGTATTGAGGGAGACAGAACGTATTTTTTAATAAAAGAGAAGCTCAGAGAGAGAGAGAAAAGAGGTAAACAGAATGTCAGAGACAGGAAATGAGAGAGACAGGATAGAGAGGGACGAGAAGCGTAATAGAGAGATGACTAAACTATTGGCCACAGTAGTTGCAGAGCAGAGACAGGATAGGCAGAGAGAGGGACAAAGAGGGCCTCGCCTGGAAAGGAACCAGTGTGCATACTGCAAGGAAAGAGGACACTGGGCAAGAGAATGTCCCAAGAAACAAAGAAGGACATTCCAAAGGCCCAAACCCCGCTCTCAGACCTCCGACCTGCTGAGCCTCGAAGATTAGGGAGGTCAGGGCCAGGAGCCCCCCCCTGAGCCCCGGATAACCATACCAGTAGGGGGGCGCCCGGTCACCTTCCTGGTAGACACGGGGGCTCCACACTCTGTTCTAAATCGGTCACCCGGCCCCCTGAGCCGACGAACTGCCTGGGTACAAGGAGCTACCGGTGGGAAGCAATATCGATGGACCACGGACCGCCAGCTCCACCTAGCGACCGGTAAGGTGATGCACTCCTTTTACATGTTCCTGACTGCCCATACCCCCTCCTGGGTCGAGACCTCCTAACGAAGTTAAAGGCTCAAGCACATTTCGAGAAAGCCAACATAAGAGTCACGGGGCCAGAAGGGGCCCCACTCACGGTACTGACTATAGCCTTAGAAGAGGAATATAGAA